TGTGGACGCATACAGGGTCAACTCATATCCGTTCTTGCCCATGTGCTTGAAGGTGATAGGCCAGCCCTCTCCCTTCTTGCCGCTCTCGGTCCGTATGGTAGGCAGCAGGCTTGATGCGGACCGCTTGACCGTTCCCGATGGGATGACCTCCTCCATCTCCTTAATAGAAAGAAGTTCAAGAGGGATTGGCTGTATATCAATTTATATTAGCCAAGTTTTCTTTTCTTCTCTTGTTCCTCTGGTGGGAAAAAAGGGGGGAGGGGGCCAAAGGTTGATTTGTGCTTCTTTATCTTACCCGTCGGTATGCTTTAACCTCTTCGGCCTTGCCGACCTGTTTTATCCTCACCAGCAAGACGGCATGGTCGAACAGAAAAGCTGTTATCTCGCTGTTCTCAGTAGCGGATTTCTTGAAGTTGCTCTTAAACACTAGCTCACGTCCCTCGTCCGTCAGCTTCAGATCGACCCTCTCGTTGGGCCTGAACTTGAGCTGGTCGTGCAGACGGCGCAGGTTGAAGCGGTTCTCCGCCTTTCCGGACTCGGCATTGACCCTGGTCAAAAGGTCACGAATCATGATCAGGGCCTTGGGGATGTCTTCCTTGTCTGGGTTGCCATCCTCCGTGTACTTGAGGATGTTCTCGAGCAGTAAGGGGTAACGCGCCAGTCTTGTTGTGGGCTTGGTCAGGTAGCCGTTCAGCTCGAGCTTCCTCGACTCCTTGCGGCGCTCGATCTCGTCGACAAAACGACCAAAGTTGGGGTTGACGGACCGCTCGTTCTCGAACTCGTACTTGGCCTCGAGCTGCTTGGAGCCGTACAAAATGAATGGTTCGAACAGGGGCACACAGTCCAGGAAGATGTCTCCGATGTTCCGCACGACGTGACCGTTCTGTTGTCGGTCTGTCAGGGCCTTGGCGAGCCTGGAGCTCACGGAATGGATACTCGGGGGGTCGATGATGTTGCTGAAGATGTTGCGCACAACTTTCTCCCTGCGCTGGGGCGGGATCGGGGACGCCTTGGACCGGAGCGGGCTGATCCAGAAGTCACGGAGGTATTCCAGATCCTTGCAGAAGTCTCGCTCCGTGTAGCAGATCTCGGAGATGACCTCCTGCCTCTTCTTTTCCTTATCGGAGACGCCGTCGGCGACCTCCTTGGGCACGCTGTTGATCCACAACTTCTGCTCGTCGGTCTGGTCGATGTCGTCGTCGTTGGCAGGTGCCTCGGTCGTCTTCAGGCCGGCGCCGATCTTCAGGTTCAGCCTCGAGACCTGCTCCAGCCGGCGAGGGCATGCGATCGAGTAGCACAGCTGATCTCGCGTGCACGTGGGGGAGTAACACTCGGACAGGAGGACAAAGACACCATTCACGGGGGGTTTGTCAGACTCGTCTTCCATCATGGTGTCCCTGAACTGGTACATCTCGGAGGCCGAGTCGCGGAGACGGTGCTCGTAGGTGACGTCGTGAAAGTACTTCTGGGCATCGAGGGCCCGGCCAAGCAGGAGGGCCAGATTCCTATCGGTCGTCCTGATAATGTATGAGAGCACATCGACGGCCTCGGAACCGCTGAAGGCATTCTTATACGTCAGCTCGTTCTTGGTGCGGTCGCCCGTGATGATCTTCTCGCGAAAGCACTCGCCCACCCGGGACAGGAGCGCAGGATAAACGAGGGGAGGGCGTATCTTGGCCGTCAGAGGACGCTCGCTGTCTATGGTCGCGCGGCTCATCGAGGGTCGGTGGGCCAGCGTGGTGCTGTCGGACCTCTCGGAGATGGACGGCGCGATGGTTGAAGCCATAGACATGGTGCGCCCGCTGTCACCGCTAGCCGAGGACTGCACGCTCGATCTCGTCTGAGCCCCTGGAGCGGGTGGGATGAAACCGCCGCCGCCGTTATTATGATGAAAACCGCTGTAGCCGTCCTGCTGTTGTTGGTGAGAGACCTCGGGCAATCTCCTGTTAGGAATGACCCTCCCGCTCATGGTCTGATGTGCATCACGCTCATGGGCGCCTGGATAGCCACCAGTCATGCTCATAGCCCGCTCGTCGTGTCGTTCTGGCACCACCCTGCCCTGGGCCGTCGTCCGCGATGAGTGTGAACTGTAGGGCGTATGCCGGAAGGCGTTGGCAGGAATCTGCGAGGAGCCGCCACCTTGCTGGTACTGACCACCGCCGGCGCCGGTGCCGGCGCCTGCTCCTCCTCCTCCTGGCTGTTGCTGTTGGTACATGGGCTGCCTCGGCGGACCAGCAAGGGATTGAGAACGGTACGAGTCGGAATTGAGAGCCGGTGCGGGCCCTGAGCCGTTCTGATAGAACCTCTGCGCGGGCGTCCGAGCTCCATAGGCGCCAGGCGGCGGCCCTCTCTGGTCGAATCTCGCAGGGGCGGGCTGCCCTGGAGGATAACGACCTGGCGGCCCCTGAGGTTGTCTCTGCTGTTGCAGGTACTGCTGTTGCGGGGACGGCACCTGGGATCCGCCCGATATCGACCTCTGGCCTTGATAATAGCCATTGGACATGCTCGCGTCCATGGTTCGGGTCCGCTCGTAAGCAGCCTGGGGGGCCATGCGAGGGGGAGGTGGTCGCTGCATCGAGGACATGGTCTGAGTGCGGTCGGCGTGCATCATCTGCGGTGGCACGGAGGAGGAGGTCATGGTGTGGGATCGTCCAGGTCCAGGGGAAGCGCCGAAGATGTTGGCGTAGGCCGCATCTCGTTGTTGGTATTGACCATAGTCTTGATTTTGTCTTCTCGGAGGGGGTATGCGGTCTTGTTGATAGTCGGCCATGGCTGTGATGGGAAGGGGGGGGAGGGGGGAGAGAGACCGGGCCTTGTTTCGTGGGCGTTGAGAGCGGGCGTCGGCCGTCGGCTTCTAGAATTGAGAGGAGTTGTTATCAGCACACGCGAGCGTGCCCATTGGAGATGGAGGAGAGGCGGGTGTAGGGACGAGATGAGGCGTCTATCGTCGGTTTGGGGGAAGGGGAGGGGGTGGTGGTTCTGGTTGTGTGCCTCCGTCCGGATGATGGGGGAGCAACTTTTGGTCGCAGCACAAGCACCGGGAGTCAGGACGAAGGACGGTACCTTACGTACGCGGCCATGCCATGCCGTGCCATGCCACGAATGGCACCAGTCCAGTCCAGTCAAGGACGGGGGCAGGACAGACAGGGCAGGGCAGGGCAGGGCAACAAGGGGAAAAAAGGGAAAAAGTGGACCCTGGGGAACCTTACTCACTCGCAACGCCCTGAAAATGCGTACTCGTCCTCCTCCGCGTTCCGTCTGTTAAAAGGATGGATCGTTGGGAGTTTGGAGTATGGTGTGGTGGTCGAGTGTGGAGTGTGTGTGTGCCAGGCCTCAAACGGCCGCCGATTTTGGTTGAGACTGCAGTACCTTGTGCACCAGGCTGGCTGTTGTGTAGAGATAACACAAAGGCTCTCTGAGCTTGAGCTGGAGCTGCAGGCAGAAGCAGGGTCTCAGGTGTTGTGCAGACTATGTTGTGTGCCCTTTGCCTGTGCGCGCATGTGCAGATCGGTAATGCCCGGTAATGATACTTGTTGTGTCGTGTACTGAAGATGGGTCTTGCACACTGGCTGCAGTCAGATATTGGTGGCTGCTTGGGCTGCTTGGATGGATGGCAGAGAGGTTAGGGGAGGAGGTTTGATGGTGGCCGCCAGTGAAAGAAGAGGCCCTGTCTTGTCTGCCCGCCTGCTTAGCTACTGTTGTTTGGAGGTTCAATAGTGCCTCAGGGCCACCCCTTTGCCGCTTTCCACTGCCCTGGCCACATGCACCTTTTCTTTTCTCCTTTTATCTGGTGGTAGTACAAGGAAGAATGCGTTATGTAGAAAATTTTGTCCAATGTGACCCTATTGCAGTCGATTGTTGAGCTGTAGATCCATTGTTGCAGCCAGGCGTGTGCTATTAGTGAGGTGCAGGTGGGTGCGCCGCTGCGCCGGCAGGAAGACCATGGATGCGCATAGAAGATGGGATGTGAAAGGTGCAATACTCAGAATCGCATCCTGCTGTTGCTGTTGTCTAATACTATGTATGATTCTTATCGTTGATGATGATGATGATGATCATAATAAAAGATTGGACGCAAGCACTCATAGTATCTTCCTCTACATCCTCAGCATTTGTGTCTTCAAGGCAAGGAAGGGTGGTAGCCAGAGGCTGTGTGCATTTGTAGGTGTAGGAGAAATGCCTGGTGATCAACGGGTATTCACAGTTCACTGCTGTCAACAACTGTCTCTAGACAAAGCGAGGCACCCAGCACAGACACGGAATGCTGTCCATCTTGAAGACAGACTGCCGGGCAGCTGTTCTTGTTCCTGTTCCCAACAAAGTCAGTTTCAAAGACCAGAGAAAGGAGTCTATATATATTTTTTTTAAAGTTCATAGTGCTGGGAGGGAGCCGAATCATTGCAAATGATGCCGAGTGCCCGAAAGGCCCTCCAACACCTGTATAATGAGGTATTCAGGTGCTAATTGCAGATCCTCAGCTCTGTGCATCAGCGCTAGAGTAACCCTTCTATTAAAGGCCATCTGCCAGCTGGTTTATGCTGGGTGATCTCCTTAGACACTCACTGAACAGGAATCCTACCCTTGGTCACAGTATCTTTGTGCAAGTAACACATTCAGACATTCAGTTAGAGATCTAGGGTTTGGTTTTCAAGCCGCTTTTTAGGTGTTCACTACAGTGCTGTAGTAGCATAATACATTTTAAGTAGAGTAACCAGCCCCTTACATGGAAGGGTCACTACTCGCATTACCTTAGTGGCTCTGACAACCTGACCCCTGCAGCCCAGTGGACTCTGCTTGCTGCTTAGTCACTAATAGAGCATCTCCAAGGATCATAAGCTAGGAGCTTGTCGACAACTTCGTCAGCGCCTCCAAGCACTCATCAGCCAGATTCTACTCGCCGACCATCCAGTCGTCGATCTGAACACGAACCCAAACAACATATCCATCCTATCTGCACCTCAGGCCTCTGACTAGACAATAGAAGAGAGCACATCGCGACAATGGCAGACTCCGAGCTGTCCCCCAAGTTCGCGCCCTTCATCGGCATGGTACGCACACCTGATCCTGAATCCGTCAGCTGGGTGCTTGAGGAACGATATGGACTGGTCTGAAGTGGACGCCTCTGACCATCTCATAGGGCGGCATCGCGGCAGCCATGATCTTCGGCTGCGCAGGAGCAGCATACGGCACCGCCAAGTCCGGCATAGGCATTGCCGGCGTGGGAACGTTCAGGCCAGATTTGATCATGAAGGTTAGTATTAACCCAACCTGTCCCCGGGCTCACTTCTCTCCATCATCAGCATCCATGAAATCCATCGTACATGTTCCGACTAACTCCTCGCTGCTCGTCTAGTGCCTCATCCCCGTCGTCATGTCCGGTATCATCGCGGTCTACTCCCTTGTTATATCTGTCCTGATCGCGCAGGACCTCGATCCCAAATCCAGTTACAGCCTGTTCAGCGGTTTCATGCACCTCGCCTGCGGTATCTCCGTCGGCATGACAGGTCTCGCGGCTGGGTATTGCATTGGTGTCGTGGGTGACAAGGGCGTGCGGGCCTACATGTATCAGAGCCGCATCTTTGTGGGCATGGTCCTTATCCTCATTTTTGGCGAAGTCCTGGGTCTTTACGGGTTTGTCATTCTCTGCTTCTCAGGAAGTTCCTTTGCTTTCTGATTGTTAGTTGCTAACGGACGGTCTTTTTGCTCGCAGGCTTATCGTGGCGCTGATCCTCAACACGAAGAGCAAGGGCTGATTGTCCACAACCATTATGACTGCGCGACTATGAGCCAGAGAAAGAGCGGAGCGGCAAGCAGACAGGCAAGCATGTGGGCAGGGGAGGGAACGATGTGGCTGTAAGAATATCATTACCAGAGGAGTTGCCAAGCCACGGGCAAGGGATACAGCATTGCATGTTTTGGCGTTTATGGGGGGAGGATCTCTTCCGATGTAGACCTGAATTATATGAGAATGGAGCTGACGTCGTTCAGATCGATCTTCCTCTGCCCAACAAACAAAGCAGTGCAGCAGACGACAAAATGACTCTTTCGGATCGCTGCATCCACGTTGAGTGGGAGGGTCGTCCTACTGAACGTCTTGACGCCCATGTCCTGAACCAATTATGAGGGGCTCCTCACTTCAAGTACCTGGATAGTCAACTAAGAATAGACTCTGCTTGTTTTGTTGTTTTTTTTAGTCTACTCTTTTCCCACCTGCCAGATTCTAACACTGGCGTTCATCTGAATCAGCAATTGGATGGACGAGAGATCCATTGCCTTCGGACGACCTTCCATCATTCCGAGAGGCTGTGAGACTGCCCTGAGAAGGCACTGGAGATTCGGCTCCTATTGCCAAGATAGAACCTGAATTCAATTTCTGCAGCTAGTCTCACAAGCAAGGGACGGGATTAGACAGGAGCGTGCGGCTGTGCAAATTCGGAAATTTCAATATACGCGACATGGGCTAACACCATCCTAGGTATACCGCGCGAAAAGTCTCAAGGCCTTGTTTAATACAAAGAGGACGAGGAATCTACAGATAGGGAGAAAGGGAATAGATGACTGCGGTCTTTTCGTGAGCAGATTTTCCTCTGGCTGATGGGTAGAGCGCGGATGGCTGCCCAGAGATACTGAAGAGGCAAGATCGCGCTGGTCAACTGAGACATTGTCGATAACACATTCCTGAGCGCTCCCACGCTCCCTGCGACCTGGGCGCGTCAATTTCTTCGCTGAGATCATGGCTCGCCCTCCGGAACGTACCGGCGACTCGAATCACCTGAGCAGTAATTTCGAACTGGATCACGATGGATTCCAGCGCGCCCGGCAGACATTTGTTAGGACTGGGCACGCGTCTGCTTGGATTTTGCTCTCCATCTATAAATCCCCGAGCAGACCTGTGAGCTGGCCGTTCTGGCCCTCATGGGAACTTGACTCCCTACCACACTCGTTGTCTGAATTTGTCTTTTCCTCTTCACCTTCTTCGCAGCCATGAAGAGATCTTTGCTTACAGGCGTGCTGGCCAGCATCGCTCCGCCGGTCCTCGCTACCGCCCAGGGAGCTGACATTGGTGGTTATGGTGTTCCTCCTCCCCTTGCTTCAGTCTGTTTCACGTATTCTTCCACCTATCTTGAGACTATATCGCCAGGCCCAGCTGTTGCCACTGTCACGCAGCCTGGTGGTGCCGTTACTGTCACGCAGCCCTCCTCGCAGGCCTCTACTACCGCACCAGCGTTCTTCGACCAGGTGATTTTGGAGATCATTCCACTTACAGCCGCTGGTCGAAAGCGTCAGGCAGCAGGATCGGGCGTCGGAGGCTTCGTCAGCACTGGCTCGGACCCGAACCCAGAGAGCTGTACTGATGCGACCACGTTCAACCTGGGCGGGGGAGAGTTGACGTTGGACGGGGATGCCATCTTCGTGGTCCTCCAGGACGACGTTTACATCGAGCTGCGCACCGCCGGCACGCCCCCAGCTGGCGCCATCACCACTACTTTCGCCAGCAGCAACGGCTTTATTGCTTGGGAAAACTTTGACTTCCTGACCGGAGCGGCCACCTTTTGCCAGGTCACAACGACTGGACAGGTCTATGCCGTTTTCGAGGACGAGTATCCTGAGGACTGTGTCACTGTCGCCCTCCAGGTTTTCAATCGTAAGTCTCTTGACGGTGTCTCCTCTGCTTCTGAGAGGGAATTTCTCTCGGCTATGCAATTGCTTTCAAGGCTAATCAGGAAATCAACAGCCGCGGACTGCCAGAACGGAAACATCACTCCCGTGAGTTCTAGCGTCAGCACCACCACAACTTCCCCGGAATCAATTCCCACCGCCGGTCCTTCTACTACCAGCCAATTCACGTTCTACCCGAATTCGTCCATAACGAGCGCGCCCTCCGGCCTGCCTTCCTCGACATCGAGCTCTACCTCGTCTGCAGGCTGCTCCTTTGCCACATCAGGATCAGTTCTCTCGGGCGGCGGGTTTGAGGATGGCGAGACACCGTTTGTAGTCACCCAAGAGGGCGATGGATTCACCATCTCCATCCTGCCCTCCTCAGACAGCCCTGCGCCCAACAGTGAAATATGCGGGTATTTCTTGTCTCTCAGCTTTGCTGGCGGTAACGCCTCGACGCTGGTCTATACTGCGTCCGTCCCGACGACGGCAGGTGACGAGTACACCATTACCTTCCAGGGTCTCGCCAATGCCGGAAGCCAGTTGACCAAGAGACGCACCCTGGGCGCACGACAGGACGACACTGACACTTCAGGCTCAACTTGGACCGTTTCTGTGGACTCGACTCCCATCGCAGATGGACAGCCGTCGGACGGCACGCCTACCTGGCAGACCTATAGCGGGCAATTCACCGCCACTGGAGATGACAACATCAACATCAACATCACCGCGCAAGGAGGCCCGAGCTACTATCTTTTCGACAACTTCGTCATCGTTGCCAATAGTGTTCAGCCCTCGCAATCCAGCGAGGTCCCGTCCAGTTCCACCGAATCGCCCTCGACGACCGAGGCGCCTCCACTCAGCTCTATAGCCTCCACGACGACAGCTTCCTCCACCTCGAGCATCACTCTTCCGCCCCAGCCAACCATCACCGCCGGCCTTCCATTCTTCATCGACCTGAGCCCCTACCTGAACAATCTCGGAGACATCATCACATCTGTTGATTTTGACCCAAGCACGACCTGGCTTGAGGATTCCGTAGACACTGACGCCCAGACCCTCGATGGAACAGCACCCAGTGTCATCACCCCCGGCATAGTCACGGTCACCATCGATGCTGACGATGGAACCACCGTCCAGCCGTACACTGTGACCTTTACGATTGCTCTTGTCTATGGTATCATCTCGACGACGTCGGGCGGATCCCTTACCACCAACGGCGTGACCTCACTACCAACGTTGCCCATTCCTACCAATCCCCTGACCTCAGCAGTCACGACGCCCAGCGCCTCGGCGTCGGCCTCCACCAGTAGCAGCTCGACATCAAGCGCGTTCTGTCCATTCTCCACCTCGGGCTCCATTTTCGCAGACGGAGGCTTTGAGGCCCCAAGCCAAGTGGGCCCATTCACGCTCGGAGGGCAGGTCAGCCTCAGCGCATGGAACCAAGTGATCATCACGTCCGCTGCCAGCCCCACGGCCAACCAGCCGTCCGACCTCTGCAGCTACGTCGTCGAGTTCCAGGCGCCCCAGCTTCTCCAGTCTGGCAACTCGTTGTACCAGTACAACCTGACCACCGTGGCCTCGCAGGCCTACTCGCTCTCCTTCGAGGCGGCGGCTTGCGGCTCCATCACGTCGCAAACCTTTGCCGTGTCTGTCAACTCGCAGGTCCTCGTGACCGTCGCTGTCCCCGTGCAGTGCTCCTGGAGCACATACCATTACACCTTTACCGCCAACACTACGACGACCACCCTGGGTATTGACCTGGTGGCATTACTTCTCACGGATGGTACGTTTGCTTATCTTCTCTTACCCTTCTCGATTTTGAAGGGGGAAAGAATAAAAAAAAAGGCTTGTAGGTCAACCTCTTGCTGACATTGTGATCCCAAAATACAGCGTCCTACTACTTTGATAACTTCATCATCGTCCCTACCAGTGTCTCGTCCAGCACCACCGCAGCCACAGCCTCAGCCACGTCCACAAGGAGATAAATAGACTGATATTTTTCTGTTGTTTTCTTTTTCTTCCCCATTTCCCTTTTCTTTCTCTTCTGCAGAACATTATTTTGTGGCCCCCTTTTTGTTTTAATTATTTCTCCTCCCTTAATCTTTTGGAAAATAGGTTCTCTATTTTTCTCTGCACGGACTTTCAAAGCGGGCATTTAATATGATATATATTGAATGTTCTTGGGATTAGGAAACTTGTGCCTGGCAGATCCAATACACTATATTAAACTCGTGTGCTTTATCTCGACTCAAAAGTACTCGAGATGTCGTGTGAATGGTGAGAGAAGATGTGTTCCTAAAGATGACCAATGCAGTTCCTACAGGAGCGGTAAGATCTGTCATATGACGGGCCCAAACTTATAGGTTCTCATGTGGGATTGGAATCATGCCAGATTATTTTTCTTTTTTCACCCTATCGCAATGTGCATGCATTCTAGTTCATTGGCATTATTTGATCTTGAAACATACAAGGTCGTCAAAACATTTCAGGTTTCATCCCCCAGCTTGAATGAATGCACCCACATGCACCATATGATGTTCATGCTGCTGCTGCTGCTGCTGCTGCTGCTGTTGGGCAAATAGTCAAACAAATAAAAACCAGCACATAGTCCCAGAAAGAACGCCCTATTAGACCCAAACAGAGGCCAGAAAAGACAGAAAGAAGATGCCACCCTTAGAGACAAGAAGAAATCAGCCCTCGACTGAAGGGAAACGGCCCGTTGCGCCGTGACTTCAACGACGGTAGGTGAAACGACGGGTGAGTCGGCCGCGCGACAAGCCCGTGTTGCTGCTTAGGCCCTGGCGGAACTTGTTCCAGCTGCGCTCGTTGTCGTCACGCTCCCTCTGTTGGGCTATTTGTTGGCAACAAATTAGCAAAACTTTCCTCTCTTCTACTCAGAAGATGTTCTTCTTTCCCCTCTCCTTTCTTTCTTTTTTCTTGCCTTCTTTTTTTCGTCTGTTTCTCCCGTAATCACGACGAGGAGCAAGAAGAAGATAGAAGAAGAGAAGGAGAGAAAGGGGGGGGGGGGAGGGAGGGAGGGAAAACCACCTACCGAGAAAGAAATCCCACCTCCTATCCTCCCGATACAGCACCGCATCCCCATTCTCCCTAGCCAGCCTCTCCCTTCTCGCCCTGGCAGCCGCTTCCTCGCCGACCAGGTATGGATCCTCGAGCGGCCTGACGCGCTCGCCGCCTCCGCGCGGGGTGTCAGAGCCCGACGACGACCCACCAGCCCCGGCGCTGCTGACCTCCTCGTTGACCCTGTCAAGCACGCGGGCCGCGTTGCGCAGGAGTCCTTCCCCGCTGGACATGGCAGCCTGGGCGCGGCGGGTGGCGACGCGCTGGTATGTCGGGTTCGTGTTGACGATGCTCCATGAGGGGATGCGGAAGGCGGCCAGGGTGGGCACGTCGGAGGCGCTGCGCCGCGGGGCGGGAGGGATCGGGGGCAGGCCTGGCGTGGAGAGGTGTGCTGTGTTGGACGGCAGCAGGGTCGGGAGGCTGTGTGTGCGGCTGGTTGTTGTGGTGGTGGTGGTGGTGGTGGTGGTGGTGTTGTGGTGGTTGTTGCTGCTGTTGCTGCTGATGGGCCCTGCGGCGGTGGTATTGGTGGGCCCGCCTACTGCGCTGGCAGCCGATGGTGTGTTGTTGTGCGCGTGGTTCGAGGAGGAGGGCGGTGAGTACGGTGGGATAGTCTCGCCGTTGGAGATCGTGGTGTGGTAGGAGGGAGCCTCCGAGACTGAGAATGAAGCAAACGCCGAGTCAGTATGTGTGTATAGTTTCGGTGCATACATCTTTGTGGCCGTGGCCCCCGTCTAGGTTGTCGGGTGAAGGTATGTACACGCCCCCCCCCCCCCTCCCGGACCGAGGATATATGGGAGACAGCTACGGTTCAGAATTACACGGGACATGAAATACAAAGAACAAAACTCACCATAGGAAGGGGCAGCAGAGCGGATCGATGCTGTCTCGAAGTCCTGCCTGCTGTAGCCGCGCAGGATAATGTCGTGCTCAAAGGTGGTAGCCATGGTTTGGGTTCTGGCTTATGATCTCGGCTGTGTGAGGTTGGGAGGGGTGTGTAGGTGGAGGGTTGGCGGTGAGGACAACGGGGACATTGGTATGCTTTGGTCTGAAGAGAAGAAGTATAGGAAGAAGAGAAGAAGCAGGAGAGGTAACGGTCAAAGTCAAGTGAACGGAGAAGAAGAAGGCGGAGGAGGAGAAGGGTCCTAGACCGACAAGATAACCTCTTGGCCTGCACACTCGCTTGTGAATCCGAGTCTATGTACTAAGTATGTATGGGAAAGGCCGAACGGTACCAGAAACTGTATAAGTCCCCTCTAAAACGCGCAGCACGCGAGCAACCACATGCAACCCTTCCCGGGCGTGTGAGACAACGGGGTGGAGGTCACGCTCCCGCCTTGGTGCACACGCGCACGCACACACACACACACACGCAGAAGCGGGCAGATATCAGGGTCTTCTGATAACAGATAGGCTGAAGGTGTTCTTAAAAAGTGGTGTGTATGTTGTGTGAAGGCTCACGGCTTCGTTAAGAGACAAGAACCCCAACAACAAACACAACTCCGGAACTCGCTCGTGAGGAGCAAACACCTCTATCACTTAAGTAGATTCACAGACAAAGCCCAAGCCCGGGAAGACAGGCACGGCTAGGGACGCTGCCGAGAGAAGGAAAGGAAAAACCCCTCCAGTTCTGAAAGGGAAGGGGAAAGGGCCCGGCAAGAAAGTAGCAGAGAATCATCTACTATGGTACAATGTGGAGGACAGGACAGAACAGGATAGGATAGGATAGGGTGGCATGTGCTCCCCCTCTTCGTCCCCCACTCCTCACAAGCATCTCGCGGCTTGCAGGGATAAGACAAGCGAAGAGAGAGAGGGGGGGGGCCGGAGGGCGGTGGAGAAAGGTCGTTTACTACCGCGTAACTACTCTGTTGGTACCATATCACAGTAGTATGTTACTATGTACTATATAAGTAGCCTTTTCTTTTCTCTCTAGGCCAGGAGGGGAGAGACTTTCGGGAGGAGGTTGGGCTTCCCTCTTCTTGTGGAGTCTGGAAGCCTGGGCTGCAGGTCAGCCTGCAGGACTATTGCATTCCCAGCAAGCCAGCGTTCCAAGAAGGGACTGGTGATGAACTGTCAGCACCGCTCATTGGCGTGCCTGGGTCCCCAAAGATGCATGCAGCGGCCGTACTCGACTAGCAGGTAAGCGGCTCCCAGATCTCACCCGCGAGGGAGGGCCCCCAAAGTAATCAGTTGTTGTTGATGTTGTGGATGGAACAACGGGGGAAACCTTTGTCTCGTGTCTGTCGAAAACCCGCCTGCTGCTCGTCCTCTGCTGTTGGAACTGCCAAGAAAAAAGGGATCCGACGGGCGCGGTGAGCATGCGCCCGGGGGGGGGGGGGGGTTAATGGAGGCCACTTAGCTCTGCGACAAAAAGGCGCAGCAGTACCAGTTGCTAGTGATATATGAGTTATCGGGGGAAAAGAACAGGTCTTGCTGTTTCCCGTTTTGCAGGATGCACCCACGGGGCACCTTGGGGATGAACACGGGAGGCCTCGTGGAGATAGATGATCGGCGGGGAATTGTGTCTGGAAAACCTGATTCTCAAACTGGCTAGCAGTAGCAGCATGTCGGTTGATGGACTACTACCACCATGTTTCTGTATAGTAATAAACTATAGTAGTGTGAGGATGAAATCATCGACGGATACTACAGTACAAAACACGACAGTACGACAAGCTTGCTGGAGTTGTGGAACCGACCGCGCCGTTTGGACCGGGCGGGATTGAATTAGGCCCCGGGGACAAGATCGAATACTGTGTGCACAGTACTTCACTTGGAACTACTACTCCTACAGAAGACCATCTGCCGAGTGCCGAAAACCCCCAGCCACGCAATGAGCTTGCGCGAATTTCCTTCAGCGTGCCGTTGGGACGCGACGGTGTCCGTCCCTTCCCGAGTACTCCGCCGAGCGTGTTGTGTCTTCGCTTTTGACTCGGGCGGTGAGACTTGGAAAATGCCATGGCCTGGAGAGGATCGAGATTTGGGAGTTTACCGTGCTTGGCTTGCTTAGGTGGTAGGGCTTGCACGGCTGGTGCAGTGGCACGGCGTTTCCACTTGCAAGCAGGGCCCAGCGGGACGGGAGCGGATGCAACGTTGAAGATTCCCCTAAAAAACCAGACCTCAACTGTCGTCCACACTTGGATCGGCAAGTTTTCGTTTGACTTTGAGCATTTGTCACAAATGGAAATGAAAGACATCTGAACTTCATGTACATGATTTTCAATTGTTTACATGTGTAGGCATTGGGAATCAGCTCTTCCAAATCTAACGAGCCTGCACAGTAGTCCCTATTCTAGACTCAAGTGCTAGAATCCTGAGCCTTGCAATGTTGCATGTGTAAAGCATGGGACAGGATTGTATGCAGTGATCTATGGAAATGATCTTGGGACCTGGGACTAGAGACACTCCCAAGCAAGATGTACCCTCATATCTCATGTTGGAAGTGCACATACTGAAGCACTCGCCCCCGTCCGTGAGACTTGGGAGGAAGAGCCCAGCCATCATATCCAACCTTCATTAATTATCGATGAGCTATTAGGTTCGTCCCGAGAAGGATATGACAAAGTCTTGTGGAGCCCACCTTCTACTCCAGCTGTGAAAACTGGAGGTCTCGGCGAAACCCCGAAGAAGCTGACGATGTCAAGTGATTAATTACCGTATACACTTCCGTTAAGCAGCCAAAAGAGTTGCAAAAGAGCCTGTAGTGGCTCAAAAGTGAGTAAATTTCAGAAACCTTATACATATTGTGGATATGTTTTTTGAAATATTTTCTATGATAGAAATACCATGATGTATTGCAGTGAAAAGACCCCTTTCCCGTCTCTCTCTTGGGAGGGGGGGGGGAAGGGAAAAAGAAAAAGGAAGTGCAAAAAAATGAATCAAGGCGCCTGAGGCTGGAATTGAACATACAGCTGCAGAGCACACTGTATCTTATAGTGCAAAGGGAAATGGGCTCAACCACTTACGACCGTTGCACTACGATACCTACTTGGCCTTGATTCGCTAAGTGACAGCACAACTGTTGGACTGATCTATATACCCAGTCACTATCACTCAACAGCGGTAAAGGATCTCAAACCACTTTGATACCTCCTGGTCTTGCAGCATATCCATGAGACCTCCTTGCCCAGGCCTATGCTGACCTCAACATGTCACAGAAGTGATCTCCAGTGCAGTTTCACTGCCTTATATTTCTACAATCCAGGCTTCCAACAATGTAACACAGAATGCTCAATGCCCAGGTGCTCGACGATGTAGACCAGGCTGCAATTCTATCCAGTATCTTGTGGCAACATCAGAACTGAGTATTTCAATGTTACCATTTAGGTGTCATGAAACCAGATTTTGAACATTGTAAGTGCGAGTATATCTTTCAAGGCTCATGAGAACCAGCTGTTGAAGCAATTCACGTAATTTCAGGCTGTCTCTGGGGGGGGGGGGGGAAATGGACAATAAAACAGGGGATACTCTGCAGTATGGTCACGATGGACATTCTGCATGATGTATTACTTGTTGCTGTCAAGCTTTCCCTGCCTGACTTGCACATCAAGTTGTGAATAATAAGTAGCAAATACCTAAATGTGCTCTCTGGGGGAAGGGGTGATTTCTTTTGATTATTTCATAGAGTTGATAAAGGATGAAGTGGGTCTTCCTGAGGACTGTTCTGCAAGTTGATGAAGACCTCCATGTCATTCTGAGCCCCAACAGATTCGAGACTGGTATGGTGATTCCTAGATCAAGCCGCAGTTGGATATCAAGTCCGCCGCCATGCTATGTATTGACATTCGTGGGCTTGCCATCTGGCAAGTAAATCCTCGTGTTTATTACGGATTTGCTGAGAAATCCTCACAGTCAGACAAGGGCTTTCACTCCTCTTTTCTTCCTCCCGGCAGCGCCCTCCCCTTCTTTTCCAAATCGCATCAATATCAAGATCTCATACATACACTTCTTCATGGTCTGTCTCAGCAAGTAGCATTGCCCACTGGTGTCGTGGACCCTGAGAAGTAATACTACTCTTAACTTGCTATCTGATGATAACTGTATTTGAATTGCCTGCACAAGGGTGCGAGTCCAGGTCCGTAAACTCACTCTACTGGGTGGCTGGATCTTGATGTGAAAAGCATTGTGGTTGTTTTGTCAAACGAGGCATGGTTCTCCTTCCCCTGCAAGGAAAGGCGTGATTCTATTTGTGGAGCACAAACAGACAGACTTTGTGTTGTCTTGCAGCATGATTTCATCTTCACGAAGGCAACTGTGCTCAAGAGAAGAAATGAGTGATTGTTGTTGCAGTGGACTCATCTTTTGGTGGTGAAACAAACGCTGATGAAAGGCTAGTGTGGAGCTGACGTTGTGCCAGACGAGGCCTGTAGGTTGGCTGGGATCAAGTTGGGGGGGGGGGTGCCCCACTAGAGTACACTGCAGTCGGTATCAAGCTCCTGCCAGGGCCGCGTTTGCATATGGTACGTGTGAGCTACACACGAGCCCAAGGCTGACACCTTCAACTCTAAGCCTCCTGGATCCAATCTGACCTTGCTTGCAATACATTGCATTCTACCTGCCTATTCTCCTTCTACTCATGACCATCTCACTTTGCTCATATACATACAATCTGTGGATTTGACAAGCTCCTTTTCAAGCAGCAGCAGTAACTACTGTGGGGTTAGTCAACAGTAGCCCATCCACAGTACCCCTCCCCCTGCCTTCACATGTGGCAGATTTGTGGTTTGAACCTGGACCCTTAAAGGGTGCTGGGACGGATTTTCGAGGGTGGACAGAGGGGATGAGATAGTGAAGGACAATCTTGGAGAACACTCAAACCATGGAGTCCCTCTCTGTGCCCAAGCTGGCAAGCCGCACTCGACGATATCGCTCCTCGACATCAGCATCAAACCCCCCTGCTGTGACGAAGGCCACCGAAGTCCTCCAACATCTTTTCGACGAGATTGGTGCTGTGATCCAGATCAGAGAAGGCTCCGAATACCCAGAATTTCCTCCCATCCTGAAGACCGCCCGACAGATACATCAACATGTTGCTGCCACGAACCCACCGTCCCCCTCCCAAGACGATTTCCGCCACCTTGACGGTTACCAACGCCTCCTCAACGTTCTCCGAGCCTACTCCGGCTTCTACAACCCCCAGAAGAGGACGTTGGAAGAGAAGAAGGGGTTCTTTGAGCTTCTGCATGTCGTGCTGGCCATCATCTCTGCGACGTTCAGGGAACATCATGGGAACCGCCGCTACTTTAAGCACAGGGTTGAGGGTGCCGGCTGGGAGGCTCTGGAACAGATCATAGCCAGTGTCGGACTGGGTGGTTCCGACTCGGACCTCTGGTCAAACTGTCAGCTGTTTGGGAAACTGCTGTCCTTCGCGCTCGACGACCAGAGGTTGGATGAACTGTGCCAGGCGGTAGCCGCAGCCACCGCTCCCCAGTCCCAGGAGCACGGCTCGGTACAAGAGGACGTGGAATATCACAAGGCTGATGGGACAAGGATTAAGAGTTTCGACGTGTCCACGATTGAGAACGAGCTGGCGAGGGTCATCACCTCCACCACTGTCCTCTCGAACCCGGAGATAATGCGCGCCACTGCCGATTTCTGGGAGTCTATGCCCCGAGAGACGGACACCACCGAGAACCTGGCCTCCGTCATTGTCCTGACTACCATGAGGCTGGCCAGCTCAGCCTCCTTTTACAACTTGACTGCCTTGCATGGGACCGGTGTCCTCTCAAGATTCCTGGCTCTGTACTTTACCAACGAATCAATATTGTCACAGTACGAGAAGAAGATCGTCCTCGACTTGTGCAAGTCCTTGATGCACCTCGGCGTCAACCGGCTTGCGGACACACAGCTACTCCTGTCCAGACAAGATTCGGCAGCATCCCAGTTCTGTTTGGATATGGCATTGAAGAATCACGGACCTCCTTTCGTCCAGTTCGATCTATCTCTTCACGGGCACTCATCCATCGAGCTGCCATCACTTGGACGCTCGTTCCCTCCACAATCTTCCGCAGGTTACACCTTTACTGCTTGGATGCGTGTGGATCGTTTCGATCCCAACTCTCACACGACCATCTTTGGCGTTTTTGATGCTTCGTCAACATGCTTTCTGATGGCATATCTCGAAAAAGATACCCACAATTTCATCCTGCAGACTTCTGTCACCTCTCAAAGACCAAGTGTGCGCTTCAAGTCGGTCAAGTTCAAGGAGAACAGGTGGTACCATATCGCGCTTGTCCATCGGCGACCGCGAACCATGACTGCTAGTAAGGCGTCGTTATTTGTTAACGGCGAGTTTGCTGAGCAGCTCAAGTCACAATATCCGATGCCTCCACCGGCGAGCAAGGCGAGCAACGGGAGCACGGAAAGCTTTGCCTCTTTCAACTCGAGTGGCAACAAGACACAGCCCGTCCAGGCGTTCTTGGGGACCCCTCGCAACCTCTCCACCACGCTCGGGCGTGGGCTGATCTTCTCAAAATGGTCGCTGGCATCAGCTCATCTCCTCGAGGATGCACTGAGTGATGATTTTCTCGCCGTGCACTACCGTCTGGGACCTAGATATCAGGGCAATTTCCAGGACTGCCTCGGTGGCTTCCAGACCTACGAGGCGTCAGCAGCTTTGGGACTGCGCAATGAAATGCTACATCCTGGTAATGAAGAAGGCTCCTCGGATATCCTCAGGGCGATTCGAGACAAGGCAAGCAGCATCCTGCCGGAGCAGAGGATCTTGTTGAGCACGCTCCCCACGGCCATCTTTCGCACTGATGGACAGTTCCTGGACTCGTTTCTTTTCCGATCACTTTCGAGAAACGCCGCGAGTAATTTGTTCCAGATGACTACCAAGAGTGGCACCGCAATTTCCATAAATGCTGCGCTGCCTTGTGTCAATGATGCCCTTGTCCGGGTTCACGGTGTTGCTGTCTTGACCGGAGACCCTGTCGTCGCAACACCCTTTAATTTTGATGCCAATTTGTGGCGGGTGGGTGGTTTTACGCCTGTCGCCCTGAAGCTTGTTGAACGTGCAAGGAATGCGGAAGAGTTTTTGCGCTCCGTTGAGCTGATGTTCTTAGCCATCAAGAAGAGCTGGAGAAACAGCGAGGCCATGGAACGTGACAATGGCTACGCCATCTTGGGCATGCTGCTGAGGGCGAAGCTTGGATATGCCACTTCCGGTAATGACATACCAGGCTGGCGACTCTTACTGACGCCCGAGGAGCGAGACCAGCTGAGCTTCCAATTGCTGAGCTTGGTGCTCGACTTCATTGGGTACAAGCACTCAAGCCCTGTTGAATCCTTCATCGTCAACCCCCTAGCCTATCGGATCCTGCTTATAGATTTCGACACCTGGCGGAAGGCCGCTCCTATCACACAAGAATTGTATTACAAGCAATTTGTGACATTCGCAGTCAACAGCAAGTTTCATGACTTTAACAGTCGCCGATTGCAGCGCATGCGTCAGTATATACCAAGCCGCAGACTACTCAAGGGTCATAGACTGACTTGTTTTCCGGTACAGGCATTGTGAAAAGATTACTAGACGCCCTGAAAGCAGAGACATTATCTGAGGATGTCCTCCCTCACTTCTTGGCTGCCTTCGAGAGCCTCATCAAATGCAACTTCAGCACCGAGGTGCACCGAACCATAGCTCTGTTCATCACCTATACTTTTCATTCCTCCGCAAATTCACAGCCACGGACTCCGCGACCGTCTTCCGCAGTTGGAACGCCAACTGTAACTACGAACAGCAGAATTGGATTACGTCGATCAACCGTCGACTCGATGAACGGGTCCGGTCTGCGTAACTTGACGAAGAAGGCAGTTGGTGTCAAGATATTGGAGCTGTATACGAACCTGCTATGTCTCAAGGGAAGTTACACGGAGATCCAAAAATTTGCAAGGACAGTGACGAACAAGGTATGTATCACCTCTCGGCCAGAGCAGCTCTTTTACTAAAGCAAACACCCCCAGTGGCTGTTGTACCTACTTGCGGAGGACAACCCAGAGATCGTAGTCTATGGCTGCAAGATCATTTCCAGGCTGCTGGTATCCCACGGCGCGAACTATATCGCGAAATTTACCAACAAAACTGGCGGCTTCGCGATCATGGCCCATCGTTTGAAACATTGGTGGGACATTCCGACTCTTTGGCCGATGTGCTTGAGCATTCTCTTCGGATATGATGTGTCTCAAATCGATTTTGATCGGTCTTTCGATCTGATGAACCTGACGGAATTGTTTGGACAGAGCCGAGTGGCTTATCCCGACGTTCTGCCAGTAATCACAACGATGCTTCAGCATGGTCTCAGGGATATCCTAAAGTACCAGGATGATCCAGAGTCTCCCGTGAATCCTGAGCAAGGGAATTTTAAGAATTTGACCACTTCGGATGCGTCCTCGACGAGACCACGAGCTCGATCCATGAACTTCATGGACGAACTCGGAACCAGATGTACGCGTGGTGTGGATAAGGAGAGAGTCGCTAGCCACGCTGTCGTCCTTCAGACCATCGTTAAATTCCTGGGTGATCTTCACAAACGCTCCGCTGACTTTCGAGATTTCGCACTGTCGTCCAAGTACGTGCGGCTGCTGCTGGCCGCTCTATATCCAGTTCTCGTCAGCACAGACCCCGTCAGCCCTGAGACTGAACTCAACTCGCGAGACTCTGCGCTTACGTTTGAGGGCGGCGATGTTATCATACGTCCTCTGGCGGGATCCTCCAGCACTGCTCCGATAGTCAGAACGACAGTTGTCTCGTCGGTCAAAGGCTCGCCAGGTCAGACTAAGGGTTCTCAGCTTCGGCGAGCTTCTTCCTTCGTGCTCGTGACAGCTCAAGACTCGCCACAAGCATCCAAGAGCACCGCACGGCTTGCACATGTCATGTCTCCCAAACAACAAGTCCATGCACAGATGATCAGCAATGTCGTTCTTGATGGCCTCCTTGGTCTTGTCCTTGATGTCTTCACGGATCAGGTGCTGGTCCGCAAAGACTTTCAAGGTTTTGGCCTCTTTCTAAAGATCCCTCCTGGTTTCCAGGAACACCAGGCGTACTTCGAATCCTATATTTTGCGACACTTTGTCTCTCACCTTGCCTCCATCATCCAGTCAAACCAAGCCATCCTCAGCGAGACTAAGGTGCTCACGAACATGTCTCGATTTGCTCTGCACATGCTGGATGCCACCTTTGAGGGTTGGTTCATGAACGGCGCCGAGACCATCATGGACTTTCTCGGGACTATGCTCGAATATCTCGCTCGACCCGATGTGTCTGCCTTGAAGAGCGTCCGGCTTTGCAGCCAGAATGTCACAGTGTTGAAAAGCGCTTTCGTCAAGCTGGTGCTGCTCCGACTGTCCGACACTGACGACGTTCAAGTTTCTGAATCCACTAACGTTGCGGTTCTCTCGAACATATTCTACTGGCAGCTGGTCCTGCTGGATTGCCTCTCTATGGTGGAAGACGATTCCATGAGACTCATCTGGTATCAGTTGTACGGCAAACTCATTGATGCACGGGAGCGAGTGCGACTGGCTGCTGCTGGCATCTTGCGCATTATGCTTGTTCAAAAGCCCCATGAGTGCTCACGGGTCTTCCGAGAGTTCATGACTTCGGAGGATCACCAACTCACCCAGGGCTTCCACACACTGACTGAAGTGGACGACGGCACATTCCTCGACTGGGTTGATCAGCACAGGCCTTCGTTGGACGCTTTGTTCCTGGGCGCCATGTCCAAGCCTTGGGAAGAATACGTCAGCCAGGAGAACCAGCGCACACTGGAAAGCGCCAGATTGCGATTGTCCCGTCGCAAGGACAAGCTCAAAGAGTGGCGCGATGAGGCTCGGTCCATTGAGAATGTTCTCCTCCGGCATGAGATGGCAAACAGCGCTTGGATGAAGAGCATCTTTCACACGGAGCATTCCAAACACCAGCGTCTGACCCAGGATCAACAGGATGACTTTGTGTTCCTTGTCTCCTCTTTTGGCAAGATGGATCGAGATCTCAAGCGTCCTGGTGGTGTCTTTGCCGATCCTTCACCTGTGATAAAATGGAAGTTGGACAGGACGGAAGGGAGGAATCGAATGCGACTACGGCTTCTTCCCGACTATTCAAAGTCGCAAGAAGAGTATCAATCGAAGCAGACGAAAAAGAAGCAGCAGCCCGAGCACAAATCTACAGAACCCCTCCCCAGTGTTGCAGGGCTCAAATTGGACACCAAGATTGGTCCTAGTCCTCCTCCGACCAAGAAAACTGTTCCAAGCGGCTCCGAAGCACAAGGCATAGATAATGCCATGGCTAGCGAAGCAGATCAGACTGAGCAACCCTCAAACTCGACTGTTGCGCCAGAAGACGACTTTGAGATGATCGAGGACATGAATGAGCCCGGAGGTGACGAAGCATTCGAGGATAAGAACCGAAAAGTCATGAGGCGTCTTGAAGTAGGCGACACAGTGCAGAGCGTGTATAACATTTCTCGCATCATTGGTCTCGAGGCTTGCGAAGGCATCCTCATCATCGGCAAAGAGGCGCTGTACCTGATGGACAATGTGTTCCGCAGTGCCGACGGCGAAATTATCAATGTCTGGCAAGCCCCACCTGAAGAACGCGACCCGTACTCCCAAATCATCACGGGTAGCAAAGGAGCCGAGAAACCCAAGGCGCAGAAAGGCAATGAGCAAGAATCTCGCAGCTGGAGGTGGCACGACGTGATTAGTATCTCAAAGCGCCGCTTCCTCTTCCGAGACGTTGCTATTGAAATTTTTTTCACGGACGGTCGGAGCTACCTAATGACTGCGCTCACCCCGGGCATCCGAGATGAGGTCTTCGCGAGGCTCTCAAACAAGACGCCTCATACGTCGGACCCGAAGTCGCTGCCAAACCCTGAGGATGCGTGGAGGCTGGAAGCCATCAAGGTCTTTGACGAAGCGCCGCAGTCCTTTGGCTCCAAGTTTGGGTCCATCTTCAACGCGTCTCCGTGGAACCCCATCATGAGAAGATGGCAGAAGGGAGAGATCTCCAACTTCCATTACCTCATGCTCATCAACACGATGGCCGGAAGAACATTCAATGATCTGACGCAATATCCGGTCTTCCCTTGGGTCCTGGCCGACTACACTAGCGAGGAACTCGACTTGACCAACCCAGCCTCGTTCCGGGACCTGTCGAAACCAATGGGTGCGCAAACGGTGGCCCGACAGACCGACTACATGTTGCGCTACAGCAATCTGATGGAAGTGGGCGAGACTCCCTTTCACTATGGGACCCACTACTCATCTGCTATGGTCGTTGCGTCTTATCTGATCCGACTGCCACCCTTCGTGCAGTCCTACATACTGCTTCAAGGCGGGTCATTCGATCACCCGGACAGATTGTTCTACTCCATTGAGGGCGCATGGAAGTCATCATCGAGGGACACAGGCACCGACGTAAGGGAACTCATCCCGGAGTTCTTTTATCTGCCTGACTTCCTCACCAATATAAATGGCTATGACTTTGGCGAGCGTCAGGGCAATGCTGGAAAGGTTGATAATGTCATCCTGCCGCCCTGGGCCAAGGGTGATCCCAAGATCTTCATCCAGAAAAACCGAGAGGCGCTTGAGAGCCCGTACGTAACGCAGAGGCTTCACCACTGGATCGACTTGGTCTTTGGGTTCAAGCAGAGAGGCGAGGCAGCTGTGGACAATCTCAACGTCTTTCATCATCTGTCCTATCATGGTGCTATTGACTTGGACAGTCTCGTCGACGAAAAAGAGCGGGCCATCACCACGAACATCATCCACAACTTTGGGCAGACGCCACACCAGGTGTTTGCCAAGCCGCATCCAGCCCGTGATATCGCCAACACAGCACCCAGACGACTCGACACAGGGGTCCAAGCCTTGACAAGGGTTACGTATCCCTTGCTTGAGAGCCATGAGCGTGTGGCCAGCATCATCTACGCGCCGAAGCTAGACCGTCTGCTCTGCGCCTCGCCCTTCCGGATCAACATGCCACCGCACTACGACAAATTCCTTGAATGGGGTTTCGCGGACAACAGCATCCGTTTTTACCTCAGTGATAATCGTAAGCCGATTGGACTGCAGGAAAACCTCCACCAGGGCCAGATCTCATGCGTGGCATTTGCAGACTCCAAGACACTGATCACCGCTGGCGAGGACAGTGTTGTCTCGGTCTACACGGTCAAGATGCCTTCAGGGAAGAACGTGGAGCTTTTGCCACGACTGTCGCTGTTTGGTCACAAGACACCTGTCAATGTCATTGCCGTGTCCAAGGCGTTCAGCACGTTTCTCACCGTTTCGCAGGATGGCACCGCCTTCCTCTGGGATCTCAACCGGCTCGACTTCATCCGCAAGCTGCCCGTGAACCGACCGGTGGAATGCGCACGTATCAACGACGTCTCGGGCGAGATCATGCTGTGCTCGGGTCCCAACGTCCTCCTCTACACACTCAACGGCGAGCTGCTCCTGGAGCAGAATGTCTGTGGAGGCGAAGGGCAGGATGACTATGTACACTCGTGCGCGTTTTACGAGGGGCAGGGGAACGAGTGGCTGGAGAATTACCTCGTCTTCACGGGTCACAGGCGTGGTCGGGTGAACGTTTGGCGGAAGGCAGTGAGGAAGGGCGACGGCAAGTGGGTGCTGGAGCTCCTCAGGAGGCTGGACCATGTCGATGTCAAGAGCGAGACAGGGGCACCGATCGATGGGCCAATTACCTGTGTAACGCCGATGCCAGGAGTGGTGTACACGGGGGATGAGGACGGAAGAGTCGTAAGTTTCCTTTCTTCTTCCTCTCGTTGGCCGAACTGAAATGTCTGGCATGGGCTATCTGGAGCTAATAAGTTACACGAGCAGTACGAATGGAATCTTGTACAGAGAGAGCAGCGCTAGAGGCGTTGGTGCTCCTCGGGGTCATTCGTCATCATCTAGAGCAGGAGAAATGGCTAGGTGTAGTGCAATGAATCGACGAAACTAGAAGCATAGCGCGGAGCAAGAATTGGATGCCTGGGGCTTGAAATCTTGCTTGGGTTGCGCACATTTCTTCTTGTTGGTCTAGAGAGAAAAGTCCACGGAGCTTCTGTTATTCTAAGGGTTGGTCACGTTTGCTTGTGGTAGATAGACGGGACCCGAAAGGCACCGCGGGAATCAGGATAGAGGAAATGAAATGCTTAGAGTCGACTAGAAACCCTTGTCGCTCGTACCTCTCTTTCTGACGCAGTATGTCGGGTTCTGTTGTCCGTGAGGGTGGCTGTATCTGAGCACCAGACGATCATGTAACCTCGCTGGTATCTCGAGCACTGTTTGACCCGTGGATGTCCGAGAAGCTGACCCTTGAGTAGTTCTTGATTGGGAAACCCTAACGCCCCTTATGTACAGTTGATCCAGGCTCCGTCCGTTGAGCTTTTCCTTCTTGCCGTCCCGGTCCGACACGTAAGGCCACTCTCTAGTCGCGAACTCGATTTCCCAGGCGCCCGCTTTCCTGTCCTGACTGGTATCATCCCGCACTCTCACTGCTCAGTCTCGTCGCCGTAGCCAGTCAACGTCTTTCTCGGACCGGAAGGGACTAGAAATCATGGTTAGCACGGTGGGGGCTCGAGAAGCCAAGCCAGCCAGCGGGCTTTGGGGAAAAGGTCGTACTCGGATATGTGGAAGGTATAGGTGCCGCGTTGGGGTCCCCCAGGCGGTGTCTGATGGGTGGCACGACGGCCAGCATGACGGGGCCGGCGGCGCCTATCACGCAGGACCAGAAGAGGGCAGGGCGTTCTCGTGATGCCCAGCGCCAGTAGCGGAGGGGCTGCTGCCAGAATAGAGGGGCTCGGCCGGACATTGTGGTCTCTGTCAGAAAGGGTCAGGATTTGCCTTGCTTCAGTACAGTAGAAGCTAGAATGGGGGTTGGAGTCTTACATGTGCGGGTTCAATTGAGGGGTGAAGTTCAATGCCCTATCCTCGACTTGGGATCTCGGCAGAGCTTCAATTGTCGAAGTGAAGTCAGTGGAATGGGATCAGAAGCCATTGGTCAGTTGTGATTATGTAATGATGCTCTCCCGTTATATCCTGGTAGACATGGCCCGTGCCCGAGGTACAGGGCACCCCCCTTGTCAAAGCTGGCGCAAGAAGGCCACGCAGTCCCGTGGCAGTAAGGCCAGGGGTCTTGTAGAAGGTCCCCCACAGGCGGGTCTTGGCAAAGGACTACGTATCCAAAGCTGTAACTTGAACTGAACAGCAGCAACCTCATCAACTTTCTTGTGTGTGAACGCCGCAGGACAATTCATAACCAGCAGCTGAGCGACCAACAAACCAGCTGCTGCCCCATGCGAAGCAAGTAATTGCTGTCGCCCTCTGTACCCTCTTTTCCTTTTCTCCTCCTCTTTCAGTTTTTTTCTCATTTCGTCTTGGCCTCACCCTACCAAGATGAAGTTTGTCTTGTCGTGTCTGTTGCTGTTCCTGGCAGCTGTTGCGCAAGCTCTCAGTGCCACTGGCGACCGTCTCCTTACAATTTGGGAAGATGTGGAGGATCAAAAGCTTTACTCCAAGTTCATAGGAGATCTTGAGAGTATGCGAATTGTTCTCAAAACTTGATCTGGCGTACAATTGCTAATTACGGACTGTTCTGCAGGTCGAGGCTACAAGATCACACATGCGACTCCCAAACAGGACAACTTGAAGTTGGAACACCTGGGCGAGAGGAATTATGACCAAATCATCTTCTTCCCTGTCAAGGCCAAGGGTACAGAAGCCCCCTCTCATGTCATGTATAGCTATAATTGTCACACGAGGCTGACTGCGGTGCTGTATTTCCAGGCCTGGGCCCTAACCTGACGGCGAAGAACCTCCTCGACTTTCTCAACGCTGGCGGAAACATCATGGTTGCCCTGAGCTCCACACAGGCCGTCCCTACCGCCCTGAACGCTGCTCTTATCGAGCTCGACATACAGATCCCCGCCGAGCGAACAGGCCTCGTTGTCGACCACTTCAGCTACGATGTTTCCAGCGCAGCCGACAGCCACGACGTGGTCCTCCTGAAGGCACCCGCTCAGTACAAGCCCGGCACGAAGAATTACTTTAGCAGCGACAACAAGGACGCCGTGATCGCGTTCCCTCGCGGTGTCGGACACGTCCTCGGCGACGGCCCCCTGCTGACGCCCGTCCTCAAGGCACCCAGGACCGCCTACATTTACAACCAGAAGGACCAGTCCGAGGTCGTTGACGAGGTTTTTGCGGCCGGCGAGCAGCTGGCTCTGGTGTCTGTCGCCCAGGCGCGCAACTCAGCCCGCTTCGCCGTCGTGGGCTCCGCCGAGATGCTCCAGGACAAGTGGGTGGACGCCAAGGTCAAGCGCCCCGGCGAGAAGGACACTGTCAAGACCGCGAACGGGGACTTTGCGAAGAGCATCGCCGGGTGGACGTTCCACGAGGTCGGACACCTGCGCGTCAACTCTGTCGAGCACCGTTCCGCACTCACGCCCAATGTTTCCAACCCTGGAATCTACCGGGTCAGCTCGGACGCGGTAGGTGCCACATGTATATACCCTGCGAAGCTCGGGACGGTTGACTGACCATGTATCAATAGACCTACACCATCTCCATCTCCGAGTGGGCCTGGGACCGCTGGGTTCGCTTCGAGGTTCCCGACCAGGACGAGCTGCAGCTCGAGTTCAGCATGCTCTCCGCCTTCCACCGCCTGGAGCTCCAGCCGCAGGAGGGCGCACCGGCCGACGAGGGGGTCTACAGCGTTACGTTCAAGGTCCCTGACCACCACGGCGTCTTCAACTTCATCACCAACTACAAGCGGCCCTTCCTGACCAACGTCGAGGAGAAGCACACGGTGACCGTCCGCCACCTGGCCCACGACGAGTTCGATGCCTCGTATGAGATCCACGCCGCCTGGCCGTACCTCACGAGCATCGGTGTCACCTGCACCGGCTGGCTGCTCTTTGTTGCCCTCTGGTTGTTTAACAGGCCTCAGAGGCAGGCCGACACTGCCAAGAAGACGCAGTAGACGGCCTCCTCGGGAGGCTGGCATGACGCAGAGATGGGAACTCATAGTGTGAGGATCTCTTTTTGAGAACTACGGCGAAAGCGATGGGATGTCCTTGGGAGCTGGGTCAGCAAGCAGATCTGGCAGGGTCGTATCACTCGCGCATGTACAGTACATAGGGAAAAGGGCCCTTTCTGGGATGGGGTTCTGGGTTAAAAAGTCTACGGATCAATCAATGAGCAAATTTGATGGCATTGCGTCGTATTGTCACTGCAACTGTGTCTAGTCTATCTTTCTGGCCTGCTTCCTCCAAACTCCCGCCCACTTGAATTGCCTCATATACATTGCAGGAGGTCGCGTTGACGTTCAGTCTAAGTGCCTCGGCCCGGCGGCCTGTTGTCGCATTGTCCTACCATGTCCTGTATCCAACCATCTTCTCCTCTCCGTTGGCTTGCCTTTACAGCCCCTTCTCTCTGACCTGTGTCGCGACCACTGGGACGAACAGACACGGAATCTTCTTGACAGATGAAAGGGTAAACGAAAAGAAAAAGACAACAAGAAAAGGGAAGAAAAAAAAAAGGGGGGGGGGGGGAGGTGACATCTCTGCTGGTACGACAATGAAGAAAGAGTGTGTAAGAGAAAGAATGAAAGACAAAACGCCCTCAGATTAGCTCTCTTAGGTTCTCAAGGACAACCGTCGCCGGGATCGCCTCTCGGCTATGCGAGGACGCGGCTTCTGCTGCCTGCAAATTTGGCTTTTTGGACCTTTGAAGTCATCACTGGGCTCACGATGTCCCTGTTACGCTTTTCTCACTCCCGCCGTCGACCGCCTCGAACCTCAGCCCGTCCGCCGAATGCAAACACTGCCGGCTAGTCCGCCCAGAAAGCAAGACGCTCGACCGCTCCGATTGAAAACTATGTTTCTGAGCCGTCACTGGCCGAGCCGCGGTCATCAACACATGGGAAGATGCGTGGCTTTCTGCAAAGAGCCTCTGGTCTTGTGCTGATTGTCGTCATTGCGGGTCGAGGCGCCGTTCTGGGGCAAGCACGTGAAGGGTGGCAGGAGGGAACAAGAGGGGAAAGAGGGATGAAGGGGGATGAAGGATGCCTACTCAGATCTCTGTTCTTTGTGGGTATTATCATGTCCGCTCTGCTTCCGCTGGGAAACGCGAGGGTCAAGGGGGAGTAAAGCTCATCCCAATTTGTATCATCATAGCAGGCGGAGAGGGAAAACAGATGAAAAAGGAGGAAGAAACAGAAGAAGGGGAGAGGAGGAAATAGGACAGAGGGGTCCAAATGCCCCAAGCTGGGGGCTTTGTTGAAGTTTGAAACTGCCTGCCATCATGGCTAATAAGCTCTAGGATTGTGAGCACATATCTTGTGTGTCATAGTAGGCGTGTTGGTCTTTGAGACCATAGCAGCAGTGATGTGTTGGTGGTGAAGTGGTGTTTGCAGCCAATAGTCGCAGAATGTACCTCGGAAGATGGGCCTGTAGAAGAGCTTCATTGAGTGACTTGAGAGCATGGTTGAATGATGCTGTTCGTACGGTTGAACCGTGCGTATGATGAACCTATCCTTGTTGATAGGATGGCATCTTTTGAATGGTGATCTTATTGGTACGACTGTACCGTTGGCGTGGTGATCTGATTATATGATTGTACGCTTGCATGGTGGTCTCCTTGATATGATTGTATCATGTGTATGATGGTCCTGTTGGTAGGATGACATTGCCTGGAAGATGGGGTCGTCTTCTTGGTACGATTGTACGCTTTGCATGGTAGTGTTGGTATCATTGTACCCTTTCTGTGGTCTCCTTGGCACGATGGTTCGATTTGTCTGGTGATCTTGTTGGAAGGATGGCACCGTTTGCATGAGGTTGAATGATGGCAGAACAGCTTCTGAGGGCAGGAGAGGGATGGTAGTAGGAAGGAGAGGTTGAAGGGGAGAGGGTTTGGGGAAGGGGCCACCATAGGTTGACTTGGGGGGATGACACTAGACAGAGTCTTTGGTCTCTGGTCTGAATAGGTGCTGAAGGAAGGTCGTGACTGAATGTCCCAGAGCTGAGTGGGCTTGAGAGGATCCTCAGATTTGATCTGCTGGGTACAGTCGACGCGTTGTTGAAGCGAGAGAAGATACGTGATTACGTGTCGAAGGTCAATGTGTAATAGAAAGGTCTCTCAGAAGAAATTTGGAGATCTGCTTTGGTCGCGAAAACCAGCAAAATTTGTCTGGTGGTAGGCCGTACCCATTTGGGCATGATCGTGTTGATAGACACCATGTGTCTGGAGAGTCCTGACGCCGCCAGAGCTGTATGTTGGTGAATAGATGAAGTTGCAATTGACTTCAGGAGGGAGTTGATCCAAATGTTGCATTGCCTGAGGGCTAGAAGAAGGCCTGTTTGGTCATGGAGGAGATTCGAGGGTGCTAAGAGCCCTGTTTGGCGGTGGAGGGGGTTTTGGTGTTGGGTAAGGGGAGTGGGTGAGGACGAGGAGGTTTGGGTGTTGAATAAAAGGTCTGATTGGGAATGGGGGAGGTTCTGGCGTTGAAGGAGAATTTGCTTTGGCAGTGGGAGAAAGGGGAGGGGACGGGTTTTATGTAAGATGGGAGGTTCAAGGGGGAAAGATTCTAGGGTGCTCTGGAAATCAAGGAGAGAAAAGCTGGGCAAAAAGTGACTATTAGTTCAAGGTGGAAAGAAAAGGCTGCAAACGCGGTTTAGACGACGCGCTTTTGAGGTTGACCTGCGGTAGAGAAAGAGTAGCTGGTTGAGGCAGGCAGTTGAGGGTCAACCTGCGGCTCAAACCTCCCCACACGGCGGTTTTCCTAAGCCTGACCCTTACTTTTTTGGGGGCCGAGGCTGCAGACCCGCTATGGTTTTCCTAGCTTGGAGCCGAACCTTCACCACCTTCACCTTTACGACTTCTCTCCACACCCACCAACCTCCAGCGAATAACCCATTACACCTCCTCCATAACCTACTCTTGGTTGCACATAAAACTACAAAAATGGTAAGCAGCAGCATTTATTCCTCAAAACCATCCCTCCTCCCCCTATCCCCCAGGCGCGACCCAGGAAACTCGTACTAACAGGCTCCTCTTCCCAAACCAGGCGCGCAACTCAGAAAAAGCCCAGTCGATGCTCTTCCGCTTCCGCGAAGCCCAAGCTGCGGACCTAGGCATCATCGACGCAGGCCGCACGCGGCGCCCCCGGGCCATCACCGAGCAGGACAGCATCCCCGCGTGCGAGCGATGGCGCGGCCAGGTGCTCAAGGAGATCTCGCGCAAGGTCTCGCGCATCCAGGACCCGGCCCTCAGCGACTACCAGGTGCGCGACGTCAACGACGAGCTCAACAGACTGATGCGCGAGAAGCACGCCTGGGAGGTCCAGATCCGGAACCTGGGCGGACCCAACTATATGCGCGGCGGGAGCGGCGGCGGCGGGGGGCGGTCGGCCATGTACGATGAGCAGGGGCGCGAGGTGCCTGGGGTTGGGAACAGGGGGTACAAGTACTTTGGGCGGGCGCGAGAGCTTCCCGGGGTCAAAGAGATGTTTGAGGCCGCAGCGAGGGGCCGGGCGGATGCAGACGGGGACAAGAAGAAGAGGGCGGGGCTAGAGGCGAGGGACGATATAAGGAGGGCCGTGAACGCGGCATATTTCGCCTTGGCGCCCGGCGAGGAGGACGAGGAGCTTCTTGCGTACGAAGAGGAGAAGGAGACGGCGGCCTTTGAGAACCTGGCGAGAAACGGGTCCAAGGAAGTCCCGCCGGACTGGGAGCCGCTGCCGGGCGACGCGGGCGACGGGAAACCGTGGCAACTGCCCACCACCGAGGATGTTCAAGAGGAGCTGATAGACCGGAGGAGGAGGAGGCTGCTCGCGCAGTTCTGATGATGATGTGTACGGGACACGGAAACGGGGACGTCGGCGTCAACGGTGTCGCAATGTCACAGTGGTTTTCAAAACATTGGCGTTGGTGGGGTTTGAGGGTCACGACAATTTGCTTGAAAATACCATCTTGATAGAGTATTGGAATCAATTCACGACACGTGAAGAATTCTTTCATATGTAGCGTGGCCGGTCAAGGCCCCAAATGATGATTGTCTCTTGTCCTGCCATGAAAGAGGTGGCATCGAGTAGAGAGGCCAACCACTGCTCGTCAGCCAGTAATGGGTATAAATATCGAAAGAAAATTTCGACATGACCATAATTTCCAAACATGCACCGGCCTTTCTCCATGAGAAAACATCCAAACTCCATGAACCTTTTCAACGCCTAACCGTTTCCTGCTACCGTGTCGACCCTGACATCCATCTGTCCCGCCTAGTAGGCATTGAAGAGAGAGAGAAAAATCCCACATGCCCTGAGGCAAAAAGTGGTAAGCCCATGCTACAGACCATGCACGCATCGAGCGCCAGACGATGTGGAAGGCTATCAAGACAAGGCGGCGAGATGCTAACCGCCCTTCAATTTCCGCCTCTGTTTTGCGTATAACAAGCCGCAGACATTACAGAGTAATCCGTCTGGGCCTTTTCTCCACTCTGGAGTCTCCGTACGGCCACACCGATGGCAGGATAGCCCGTCGTCAACCTTAGACAACTGCAACATAACCTCCTTGTCAGTCGATTCGTAAAGATGGGAGATCCACACCCAGGTTTTGGGGTACTCATGGGCGTAGCCTACCTGGATCCGTTTGGAGCCACTCGTCCGATCATCCTTTGCCGTATCACCGCGCGACTGGCGGTGATGCGAGCGATGGTGGGAGTAATCCTTTGCGAAATGGAGGTCGTTCCCGTTGCCGTTGCCGATTTTGCGCTTCTTGGTGCGCATCCCATGATGCCTCACGGCCGAGATACCGCCTACGCTTCGGGCGATGTCGTTGGACAGCTGCGTCATGAAGAGCACGTCGCCATCGCTCATCACGGGAATGGGACGGTGACTTATGGAGGGGTCATGGTTGCCAATGATGGAAGTAGTCTGGATGAGACGGAAGGAAAGGCAAGGATTAGGTTAGCTCATTGTTCTCTAGGACGATTTGTATGGTTAGGTGGGATGGGCAAGGGAACGATGGAAACGGATCTAAAGCCTGTGGGACAAGTCTCATCCCGTTTCCATCAAACGTTATGGGGAGACAGTTTTTCTCACAAGGAGGGACAGCTGCCTCTGGGACATCTTCCAAGGGGTCAGCTCTCTCCGACAAGTACTCACGAACTCCACGAGATGCTTGGCGCTGCGGTGTATCTATGAAGACAGGTTAGCGGCGGGATGGAATGATTCTATCAAGGGAAGGGAAGAAAAGGCTGCTGCCAACAGGGAGAAAAGAGAGAGGAGGGCGGAGAAGGGGGCACACAGACGGTGAACAGATCCTCGGCAATCTTGGCATCCTTGAGCCAGAATTGATGATTACTCGGCCCTGCGGCGGCCTCGAATTTCAATTCTGACGACGGCACGACAGAGATGAGGCCATGCTCGGCGGCGGCGGCGAGAGGGTGCGGCGCCGTTGTTAGGTCTGCGTCGCCGTGGGTAGGTGGAGTCTCGGGAGTGGTGGACGGCTCCTCGTGACGAGAGGCCGCGAGACGGATGGGGAGCGGAAAAGACATGAGCAGCGACGGTCTGCTATAAGACAGTTGCTCCGGGTCACGCCGTCGGCACGGGGCCAGCGGGACCGGGGTACTGAATCTCGTGACCAAGGTTGGTGGTCTGATGGCTAGATCGACGTCGAGACCGAGGTCGAGGTCCAGGGGAAGGTCTCCTCAGGCTCGCAAGGGGGGGGGGGGGGTGTGCGTGTGTGCGTGTTAGAGAGGGGCCGAAAATGGGGACCAGGTCGTATGTAGGAGATAATGCTATGGTCCCGTCAAGAACAAAGGAGGGGGGAGGGGTGTATGGGCGCGTGTGGGGTTGGTTGTAAGACGGCCGTGTATCTATGGGACGAAGGCTAATACCCACGATGAATGGAGGTGGAGTAAAGAGACTCAGCGATCGAAGGAGAAGCGTTGTGATCGAGATGAGTGAAGGGGGGATGGAAGATGAGAATGAAGGAGGGAGTGGTTTCCCTCTAAAAAGGGCTGCCCCAAAAAGAAGAAAGTCAAGAGAGAATAGGTAAAGTGGGTGCGAGTTCAGCCTAGGTCTGGTCAGAACTCCTCAACGCGTGGAGGGGTGGCGAGCAATGAGGGAACGAGGATGGAGAGACCAGGATTTACTGTCATGTACTAGCAGGTAGAATAAGGGAGGGAGGGGGAGAAGAAAAAAAAGAAGAGTTCCAACGCTAGATTCCCGTAGACCCCTAGCTCTTCCGTCCATGGTGGCGAGGGTTTGACATTGAGAGGCAACACCCGGAAGAAAAGGTCCCCCCACGGTTTCGAGGCCCTTCAGCTCCTTCCCTGCTGCCTGCTTTGGAGAAAGTTAGAGATGCTGGTGCGACTCAGGCCCCGGCAGGACCGGATGAGCCTGTCCTAACATCGAAATGTTCCAAGATTACCATCTTGTTTGCATATGGGAAACCTTCCCCGAGGGCTGATTTGCAAATGCAGATCGCCACAAGGTAGTTATGTACCTATAGTTCCTTGTAAAAAATCTATTTTGCTCTTTCATCTGTAAGCTTCGTTCAGCCCTCCTATGGCTTGAGTGACCTAAATAGCTTCACATCAAATCATTTTGAGGTTGTCATGCTCAGTAGGAGGAGATCGAGTCGCCGATCTGTCTCGGTTGCTGAGGACCGTGGACCCCTAAATTGGACCCCTAAATTCTAGCCCACAACCTAACAGTACACTGTACAGTAGTTCGCACCTTGCACTCCTTAGCTGATGCTTTATCTTATCGCATTCGTGCACGTACCATAGTACATTTGGTAAGTACTTCAGTACATATGTACTTAAGGCCTTATGCGTCATTCTTACATGCAACACATTAGAGAGGCATCACGGGCCATTCCTCGTGCCTCAACCAACCACCCACCCAACTGCCATCACCTTCCCCTTTACCTCTCCTATAGAATGTGAATTGCGGATGTGACGACCCCTTCTCTGCCTCTCTCTTTCCCCCCATCGGCCTTCTATATCCACGAAGTGGATTTCCTGTCTGCTGTTTGTTGTTTCCCCCCATCGAGAGCTGTGGATATACACCAGCAACCATGACAACCACCCGGGCCCTCTTGGCCGGCGGCCTTTTTGCTGTTGCCGTTCAGGCGATGCAGCCCAACGCTGAAGAGCCCGTCGCGGCGCCTATGCGTGATCTCCAGTGGGCCCAGCTCAACTTCCTCCATACAACCGACACACATGGCTGGCACGGTGGTCATCTTCAGGAGTCTCAGTACTCTGCCGACTGGGGTGACTACGTCTCATTTGCCCACCACATGCGCAGGGAGGCCGACGACCGGGGCGTCGACCTGCTGCTGGTTGACACTGGCGATCGCGTCGAGGGCAACGGCCTGTACGACGCCTCTACGCCCAAGGGCAAGCACACCTACGATATCTTCAAGCAGCAGGACATCGACATCATCTGCACCGGCAACCACGAGTTGTACAACTATGACACTGCTGAGAGTGAGCGGGCTCACACCGTGCCCAATTTCGCTGGCAGGTACCTCGCCTCAAACCTCGACTACAAGGACCCGAACTCGGGCGACTGGGTGCCCATGGCGCCGAGGTACAAAAAGTTTCAGACCAAGAACCAGAAGCTGGACGTCGTAGCCTTTGGCTTCCTCTTCGACTTCACTGGCAACGCGAACAACACAAAGGTCCAGAAGGTGTCGGATACCATCAAGGAACAGTGGTTCCAGGATGCCATCCGGGAAAAGGCGGACGTCTTTGTCGTGATTGGTCACATCGGCCTGCGCATGGAGGAGCTCCAGAAGATCTTCCGGGAGATCAGGAAGCAGAACTGGTTCACACCCATCGCCATATTCGCCGGACATGCGCACGTCCGCGATGCTGCCAGCTTTGATGCCCGTTCCTTTGGCATCGCGAGCGGACGGTATTTCGAGACCATCGGGTGGATGTCGGTAGATGGCATCGCAAAGAAGTCGGAGGATGTGCAGACGACGGCGGTCTCTTTCAACAGACGGTACATCGACAACAACCTGTTCGGCTTGTACGCCCACACCGGTCTGAACGAGTCTACCTTTCACACCGAGCACGGTCGGAACGTCAGCAAGATGATTACCGAGGCGCGCAAAGAGCTGAACCTCGACGAAAGGCACGGGTGTGCGCCTCAGAACTACTGGATGGCACGGACGCCCTACCCAAGCAACGACAGCATATTCACATGGCTGGACCAGGAGGTTATGCCTGATGTGATCTTCAAAGAGACACGCAAAGAGGTTCCCCGCCTCGCCATCATCAACACTGGCGCCCTGCGCTTTGACATCTTCCAGGGGCCCTTCACCGTTGACACTACCTACATCGTCTCGCCTTTTCAGAGCAGGATGTCCTATATCCCTGAAGTCGAGTATGTGGTCGCCAAGAAGGTTCTCGCCCTCTTGAACAAGGCGACCCGGATCCTCGATGTCGAGGACCACGACCCGAGGATGATGGGCCCACCAGAGCAGTGGACCGTAGCCCAGGATATTATTTATCCCAACCTCCCTCCGCCAACCACACCTTTTTTTGAGGTCGACGGTCAAAAGCCTATGAGTGACACGGGGGACAAGCCTCACTTGATCAGTGGCTATACTACCAAGGACGATATCGGCAGTGATGGCGACGACGCCATCCACTCTCCGATCAACTTCTACGTCCAGCCAAACTGCATCCAATCTGAGATTGGCTTCCCACAAGAGGGCGAGCCGGACAGGGTCGATCTCGTCTTCAATGACTTCATTACGTCGTGGGTGATTCTGGCTCTGAAGTTCAGCGGTGGTGACTACAAGGAGGCGGACATCCAGTTGTGGGACGAGGCCCCCTTCACCGACATGATGGCAGGCTGGATCAAGGAGCACTGGAAGGGAGATTGTTGAAATCGATAATGATTTGTATGGTTTGATTCTGCGAGCATGACTTAACACTGGCAATCATCACCCCGTCCTCAAGAGCTGAGTGCGTGAGGTGTTTCTTGATGTTTCGGATTTTTTATTTTTTATTATTTTGGGTCCGGCGCCAGAATTAGTAGCACGTGATTTTGAGGTATTATAGATGTAACATTTCGTATTAAAGAAGGATGCCATTACAACTACTGAAGTCTGCTCGTGTTCGTTCGCAGGATATAGCGAAGCTTGAGGGTCCGCATAATGGGTTCGGTCTTCCAGCTTGTTCATGGGTTACGGACCGGCCGTGCTTTTTGCGTAATGACAATATACAAATGTTCTCAGTCTGGATACCCAGTTGAATGAATCCTCAAATCCCAAACTTGATGTATTAATATAATGAATAAGGAATTGCAATGTGAAAGCAAGAACAATTCGTACCGTAAATTTCGTCCGAAAGTCATGTCCCTTTACGTACACCCACTCGATGCTACCCTTATCCTGTATGCCATGCCAAATTACCGAGTACCTTTTGCCGTCTTTTCTAAACTTTCATCATGTAATCGTTACTGCCCCGGGTGATATCCTATTGATAGATGCTACCCGTTTTCCTTGATTGCGCCAAATACCCCACCGTCTTTTCTATTAACGCACACGCCTCGCTCGTTCTTCTGCCACGGAGTCAGCGCGCCCAAGGGAGCTTCAACAGTGCTATTTCTACCAAGAGAGAAAATGAAAGGAAGAGGAAGAGAAATGAAGAAAAGAGTGCGACATACCAATAGTGACCCTTGGACAAGAGAGTGGAGGCCGTATGCTAGTAGAAGGGCGATCGAGAAGCCCGGAAGGTATCGTGGGTGCTTAGTAGCTATAAAAACCAATCGGTGAGACGTAGCGGATGGGATAACCACGCTGGCCGCTATAGGCCCTCCCAAGGTACTCCCAGTCGCTAGGCCAGAATTTGATGGCGCTGGGGTGCACGCCCGTGACCATCACGGTGTGGTGGTTATCTTCGCAGGATCCCGGGATCCATCTTGAAGGCCGAGTTTGTTCAGTTTCTTGAGCATTCCAGTGGCGCATCCCGATGACATGCCCGAACTCGTGGCGGAGGATGTTCTTGATAAAGGCATGACCATCTGTCTCATAAATGCACAGAGGTCCGATCCGGATGGAGCGCCTGGGGAGTCGGTAGGTTGGCAAGGCTCGGAGGTCGGGCGGGGTGCTGGGGAAAAAGGAGTCTGCCCAGGTGCGACCGTCCAGATCGCGGTCGTAGTAGATCTTGAAGACGACTCGAGGGTTGTTTGGGGAATAATGGAAGCTGAGAGGGATCCTATACTGGTCGAAGGCTTGATTCATCTCCCTTGTCACGGCTACGGCCCCCGACTCGAGGCGGGCTATGAATGCCTCACTGGCTCTGCCATATCCAAAGCTATGTCTGTCGATATCGAAGGAGATGTTTGAGCCAGGTGCGAAAAGAGTTGCTGGTCCGTGGGGCGCATCAAGGCGGAGTTCTGCAGGCCCGGCGGAGGCGGGCGACAGGTCCGGATTGGCATGGCAGTAGAAATTGATCTTGCTTTTGGGGGCTGGAAGGGTTAGATCAGGGTTTAGGTGGCCAGGGAATAAACTCAAGATGAGATCGCTTCTGGTAGAGTTCTTATGGACCGTGAGGTGGTTAGTCGATTGTTTGGGGCCATGCATGTGCTCCTCAGTATTGTTGTAAGTGCGGAGGGACTCGCCGCTTGGGGGACACGGTGGGGTGAGACTATTGGTCTGATTGGTGGGAGTGGTTGTAGGTGGGGCAGTCAGAACGCGGCTTTGGTCCATCACCCAGGTCCCTGGCTCCCGTGTGACATGATGACCTGCTCGAAAGTCAGCTTCCCGCAATAGCTTTCGTGGAAAACAACACTCAAGATTGAGAAGGCGGATAGAGTGGGCAATTTTGATCCGTCGAGGTACCATGAATGAATTTTGTTTGCCGTTTCTGAAAATCAACAGTACTGTAAAATGCGTTGGGCTGCACTCGCAAGCCTGCGTGGGACGATGAAATGGTTTGGAACTATGAGAGCCTGGCAGACCTACCAGTAAACATCGCCATGGCTAGATTGTAGTAGGCCTTGGTCTCTAAACACTGGTAGGGAGAATGAGCTCGAGGCACAATCCAGACGACGAAGACTATATATATCCAAGAAGACCCCTCGGGCACCCCTGAATGACTTTACCTTGGGGCAGTGTGAGTGAATCCTTAACGCATCAAGCAGCCAGGATAATTATGCTGCGCCATAGGGCTCACTCTGCAAAAACCCCTTTCCGGGGTAAGGATCCACAGACCTACGCTCCCCCACAGCTTAGCTAAAGCAACAAACCCCACTCGAGGGGAAGGAGGTCTTTTCTCTTAATTTCTTTTTCTTTTTCTTTCTCCCTCCCGCTGGGGATGGTGATCCCACCCGGAACGTCATTGCAAGGCGCCTAACTCGCGTCAGGTATAAACGTTGCCCCGACAGTCCAAAGGACAGCCCAAATAATAGGGGAAGATCTGCTGTTACGCTTTATCGTAGATGAAAGACTGGGATACGCCACTACCCGCGCCCGGAACCAATGAGCGAGGGCGGTCAGATACGTGTTCACACCAGGAAGTATCGATGAGGCCCTGAAACTCCGTGGGTATTTCCACAAGGCTACTGGCTAAGACTCTAGACCTCGCAATGTACGTACCGATGTATTGAATGTGTATGGTCGTACCTTTCGATCTGTTCAAACCAATTTCACCCCATCTCAAGGTTATACGTAGCAGATGCTCTTATTTAGACACCAGCTCTCGAGTTGACGAGGTGATACTCAACTGTATTATGTTGTGACTAAGCCATTTTCGGTTCATCTGGTAATAATTATTCTTCATCTTTTTCGCTCCCGATTGTTCTCGATTCCCCTCTCTGTGTTATAACACAAATATTTTGATCGGCCCCCCACTAAAGGCAGCCATCATCACATTACGCCCAGTTGTTTGCAAAGAACGTGAGGACAGTCTTGTATCCGCGGATGTACTCCTCCTCGACCCGCTTGTCCTTGAGGTCCGAACGCGCGGCCATCCAGCCGTGGATCTGGTCCTGGAAGATCTCGACGTGCTTCGGGCCGGTGAGGGCCTCCTCGAACTTCTTGACGTCCTCGGCGGGTTCGTCCTTGGATGCGAGCATGGTCAGGGGAATCTTGATCCTGTTGTGTGTTAGTTGAGCTGGGTGAGACCTCTGGGTATGGGCCTTGGGGCCACCAGAAGGAGGAGAGGGGGCCAAGGGGAGTGGACATACTTCTTCGCATCTTCGGCATCGACCATCGCTGGATGGCACTCTGCACCGATCTTGAAGGGGTTGTCAGACTGGCTGACGGTCAAGGAGATAACCTTGGAGCCCCAGCAGAACTGCACGTCGGAATCAAAGTCAGCAAGGCGTCAGATGGCTGAAAGGAAAGAAGATGAAGGAACACGAAGGATAGGATATATAGCAAGAAAACCTACACCGACGACACCCCACTCCTTGATGTTGGGGTATTTCGTTTGGGCGTCCTTCAGCACGCTGTGGACCTTGGGCACGAAGCTCGGGGGGCTGTTCTGGCCAAAGAACTCGCCGACCTTCTTCTGCTTCTCCTCGTTGTCGGGCGGGAAGAGGTCGATGGGGAGGGGCTTGCCGTCGAAGGCGTCGGGCATAAACACGGCGTATTTGTTGTGGTCATCAGCGGTGGCCAAGATGTCGCATCCCTGGACAGTCTGGTCGAAGAAGCCAAAGATGTCCATGATGACCAGGATGCCCTTGGATGCCTCCTTCGCGGGACCCGTCACGTATGTCTTCTTGCCGTCAATGGTCTCGTATGCGCCCTTGTGCTGGTACCCGGACGATACGACGGGCGGAATGTTGCAGCAGGCCTGCGAGTGGCCGCCGGTGGCCTTCATGGTCGACATTTTGGGCGCGGAGGTGCTGAGGGGGCGCACGAACTGGAGATTGGTGACGTTGTTGTTTGGTGGTTGTGGTTGTGGTAGTGTCAGGCGGGGTAATCTGCAGCAGCAAGACTGGTGGTGGTGGTGGTGGGTGGGCGGGATCAGGTTGATATTTTGCGCGGGGGCTGTAGTGGTGGTATTTATTACAGGAGGAGAGGGGGAGGACGTTGTGATAAGCCGGCTGTGGGGTCGATGGAGAGAGTTGATGGCGGCATTTGAGGCGACCCGCAGTTGGCCAAGAGGAGCCATGACGCGGGAATGAAATAATCACTGGAAGAAACCCCGTGAATCACCACTTCAAGGCTTTTTTTCTTTTCTTTTTTCATAAAAATTATAGATTGATGAATTGTTCCTTTCTCCGACCTGATTCAGTCGTTGTCTGGGTTCTTGTGATGATTCGAATGATGATGAATGATGATGCAAATCAATGGTCAGGACCTGCAACGTTTGGCATGGCTGCTTTCCCCTCCCCTCCAAGCTGCCATAGCTCTCCTCTAGATAACAAACAACAGATCAAGATTATGACGTAGCGAGGGGTTGCGGCCCCCCCCCCCCCTGGAGCTTATTATTATCCGCAATTGCCCCTACTGGGTGATGTGGATAGTGTGGCCAAGTGCCCTAACCCCGGCCCCTCCCCCCTGCAAAAGCCCGCCGTTGATGAAGCCGCCAACCGAGCCGGAGGGTCGGATGAGAATCCGGTCTGGTAGCCGCACGGTCGGGCTCGTTGTGGGACCTCATAGCTTCCGAAACCTGTAGCATGAATAGCATGCGAACACTACCCTGCAGTGTGATGACCGCGGTGGCGTCGACGACGAAGTTGGGTCATGGAGTGGAAGAAATCTGTGAGGCATTGGGAGGCGAGGAGGGGAAAAGGGGCACAATGAGGGGAGCAGAGAGAACCTTTTGGGTGGATAAACTAAGGGTACTAAGCAAAGAAATAAAAGCGTTGATTAAGACAGACAGACATATCAAGGTCTTCTTCCATAGCCTTCCTCTGGTTTATGAACAGAGAAAGCTTATGCTGTTACTAATATTACAACTAATGATGATGATGATGGTGGTGGTGGTGGTGGTGGGTGATTCTGAGGAAGAAACCTATCCGTCGACATTGCTAGCGACCGTCTCCCCATGCATTGCTTGAATCCATTCAAGTAAAGTGTGGTCCTCCCTTCTCGTCCCTCATCCTTGCTGTGCCTCGGGTTTTACCGACGATCGCCAAGCAGGAGCACGGAGTTCAGATATCTTTGGACACAAACCCTTCAGTTTCTGAAGCGCAGTGGGATGGCCCTTCTCTGCACACTGAGGTCTGGCCTCGGGCCGACCAGCTCGGGTCCAATACACATCAGCAGACATCAGGGCCTCCTTCTCCGCCTGGAATCTGAGCGCTGCCCTGGCGTCCGCGACCCCCATCCACCTCGCCTCCAGCCCCTCGCCCAGGTCCTGCGTGTTCTCGTGCGGGGCGGCATCGGGATCCGCTAACGTCGCAAGGTAGAAGAAACACATTTTCTGGGCATCCGTGTCTGAGCCCGCCCCCGGCTCGGTGTATGTGACCATGCCCACCGGCTCGGTACCGAGGTGGTCGATGACGGTGCTCTTTGGGCCGTCCGGCTGCTGACTCCGCGGTTGTGTGGCTCGCGTGGGCATGAGGACGGGGACCAGGTTCACGTGATAGCCGGTTTCCTCGTAGGTCTCGCGGATAGCTGCGTCGCGGATGTTCTCGCTGATGTTCCTGCGGCCCTTGGGGAGCTGCCAGATATCCTCCTGGTACTTCTTGTTGAGAATGACGAGGACCTCTTGGGTCCTGGGGTGGAAGGTGACCGTGCCAGCGCTGATGATGAAGTCGACATTGCGATGAAATACCATGTCACTATCGATGCCGCCGAGGTCTAGCTGCCTTCTCGCTGGTGGTTCGTCCGTGGCCATATTTCTTTTCCCCCTTCCTTCCTTGGTTGCCTTTTTTGGGGGGGGGGGGGGCGCGGGGAGAGGGGCAGAATGTGTCTCCCTTGAGGGTGTGGGTGAAGGGTACCCCGATACTGCAGGGCGGGGATGCCTGTTGCCTCTGTTGGTTATATACTATTGTCGTGCAGTGGAGTGATGAGGGGAGAGGGGGTGAGCGTCTCTAGTATATTGCAGTGAGACCTCCTGACGCACGAAATGCAACAAGAAAGTGCTTTTTCTTTCGAACCGAGAGCGGCTACCAAGGGGGGGCTCGAGGAACATGGCCCATGCTCGAAAGTACGAAGAAAGGAGCAGAGCAGAACAAAAGAAACGGTGTGTCCAGGTTCATCCGGCCGTCCTTTAAATGCCTGTTTCCGTGGCTGCCCCAGCTCAGCCGCTTCGGTCCTGCTGCAGTACCTCCTGCTGCTGTTGCTGCTGCTGCTGCTGTAACCTGCAACCTGCTTGTGCCAGCCCAGCCAGCCAATATTCGACCAAAAAGTATTCCCATTCATGCCTCTTTGTCGGGTGTCGCTTGCGCGATTCCGCCTGTCGCATCCCTCAATCGAGGTGCAATAATCAACATGTCATATAACGCGTCAGACCTGCTCAGGACCGGTGAAGGTTTCGCCAGGTCGCTGACCAAAAGCCATGGCTCGGATCCGGCGCCTGAGTACTTCCCACCGGTCGATCCACCTTTATATTTAAACTCTTTTTTGGAGGGGAGGGGGAGAAGGGGCGAAGGGGGCATCGAGCCGAGTGAGTGGCAATGAACACACGAAAGCCAGCGCCCCTTTCTGTTTCTTTTTCTTCCTTCATCTCTCTCTTTCTTTTTGCCTTTCCCTTTTCCACACTTAGCCGTTCGAGACATGGTTTAAACCAGGGGGGGCTGGCACCAAATATAGGAGAAAGACATGCGTTTGCGGTGGAACCTCCCAATGTATCCTACCCTTTTTCTGTAGCATGCTGCGGGCGGGCGGGCGCCTCTGCGCTCCGCTACATTGGTCGTCCTTGGTCAGATGCATGGAGTGAGGGGGATGGCGGCCTATCAGGGCCGCTGGCCTGCACTCCGGGGACGTCCATTCAGCTCCGATATGGGAGGATCCAAACCAGGGAGAGACCTGCCGCTGAGCTACGTGTGACTTAGAACGACCAGTTTTGGGGGAAGGGGGGTAAACCACCAAATGAACCGGGGACGGCACTGCATCGCTCGCTTGGGGGCTGCAGCTTGCAGGGAGCAGATGCCGGAGCAGAACCCCCGCAATACCCATAAAGGCAGGACCAGCATCCTCTTCTTTTCCCCTGCTTACTTCTTTTTTCGAGCTGACCGGATCGGCACCGTCACACCTCGCAGAGATGTTCGACCGCTGAACCCTTATTAACTTGCATCTGGGAGATGCTAACAAGGTGAGGTCTGGGATATAATGAGACATGCTCTCAGTTGTTGGACCAAAATCCTCCTTGCTGACAATGTAGAAACCAAAAGAGGAAAACCGAAAGATTTCGCACGAGAGGAAAAAACAAGACAAGAAAGAAAAAAAAAAGGAGAAGAAAAGATGTCAGGCAGGAGGAAAGAGAGGGGGGGGGGGATGTCATCATGCAAGGCGCATGTAGCAAAGTTTGAGATAAAAAAAGAAAGAAAGAAAGGAAACAAACAAACAAACAAACCAAAATGGGCACTCTTGCTGGTGATGTGTGTAAGAGATGAAGCGACTCGAGACCATGGTGGCTGCACCTGCGCAAACAGTAAATAGGTCACTATTTATATCAGTTGCTCTTTGGTATGTAACCAATCTTTCAACAGTGAGTCGTCCAATGCGCTGTTTATCCAACGACATCTGAGGAGCCATCACAGGCGAGTAATTAGTACACACAGTACTAGATCTAGCTACTTTATCCTACCAGACTGGCTGGCTGAGAAGTACCATCCCTGCCTTGCCTGGCTGGTCTGGGTACGTGCTGAGCAAGTACCTAGGTATCTATGTGCCCCGCTTAAATTTTGTCACCCACTTTGGGGCTGCCCCTCCACATGAACGTCAAGATGGCCCTTTTGAGTCACCATCACACTGCTGCCAATTCTCAACCTCTCCTATCAACAAACCACACGCAGCAGTCAAGATGGCTTCGATGTCGGCTGACGAGAGAATTGCCCTCATCAAGGAGAATCTCGCTGAGACTCTCGACTTTGAGATTATCGAGAAGATCATCAAGGATGGAAACGACCCCAAGGTCTACTGGGGAACGTATGTTGCTGGGGATTCTATTACCCCTTCGTGCCGGAAGATGTCTTGAGACACCCAGATGCTAACTTCATTTTCTCCCGATACCTACTATAGAGCGACGACCGGACGGCCTCACTGCGGATACTTCGTCCCTGCCATCAAGCTCGCCCAGCTGCTTCGGTCCGGCTGTGAGCTCACCATCCTCCTCGCCGATATCCATGGATTCCTCGACAACCTGAAAGCTCCTATCGAGCTGGTTGAGCACCGTGCCAACTACTACAAGCGCGTTATCACTGCCATGCTCCATGCAACGTGCGGCGAGGACGACGTCAAGAAGCTAAAGTTCGTTTACGGCAGCTCTTACCAGAAGAGCGCCGACTACTGCATGGACCTATACAAGTTGGCTGCGGTTGTATCCGAGCATGACGCCAAAAAGGCCGGCGCCGAGGTTGTCAAGCAAACCGCCAACGCCCCGCTATCCGGTCTCCTCTACCCTCTCCTCCAGGTCCTGGACGAGCAGTACCTGGACGTCGACGTCCAATTTGGTGGTGTCGACCAGCGCAAGCTGTTCACCGCCGCCAAGGAGTGGCTGCCCAAGCTGGGCTACCGCCAGCGCGCACACATCATGAATGCCATGGTACCTGGGCTCCAGGGCGGCAAGATGTCCGCAAGCGACCCCAACTCCAAGATCGACCTGCTCGACGAGGCCGACACGGTGGTCAAGAAGATCAAGAAGGCTGAGTGCGTGCCCAAGGTGCCCGAGGGCAACGGCGTGCTGGCCTTTGTTGAGTTCGTGCTGCTGCCCGCCGCGCGCCTCAAGGGCCAGAAGGGCTTCGTAGTCGACCGGACTAGGGATGAGCTGCCGGAGCTAGTCTACACGGACGTGGAGAAGATGCACGAAGACTACCGCAACGATGTCCTCACCCCGCAAATTCTCAAGCCTGCAGTGTCCAAGGCACTCAACGAGCTGATGGCGCCCGTAAGAGAGGAATTCAGCAAGGACGCGAGCTGGCAGGAGTTAGTCGAGAAGGCCTACCCGCCAGAGGTTAAGTTTGTCAAGGAGAAGAAGAAGAAGGACCGCGGCACTATGTTCCCCGGCTCTAAGAAGGACGGAGGAAAGGCGCCGGCCGATGGAGCGGTCACGTCGCAGACGGAGGACCTGCCTGTTCGTACTACGAAGGAGTAGGCCCTCGTCCTCTCAAGGTGTTCAAGGAGTTTCACACTGTTCAATGCCGCCAGCCTAGAGAAGAAAGAGAAAGAAGAAGAAAAAAGAAGGAAGTAGACGATAGATACCCTGACAACTAACTACCCTTGGCTTTTCTGTGGGTGCTTTTTGTGGGATGGTCACACAACATGATATGACCAGTGTTCTCCTCGCAGGTACCTGATTTTGGCCTGGGATGTTCTTCTCATGGAGGCTGATGTTGTGTGAGCGCTGCAGAAGGGCATCTAGGTTCTCGAGTCCTGCTACATACAAGAAAACGAGCCAATTGACCCTGCACTTACAAAGGTAGATATGTCCTAATTCCTGTTATCGCAAATACTATGTATCTTCAATCGGGGACGAAGGGTTTTGCCTCCCCCCCCCCCCCCAACAACAAACCCTTTCTTTTTTTCTTCTTATCTTTCTCCTCGGTCTTTCATTCTTCACCTTGGTTGCAGGTCGTTGCTGAAGATTGGATGGATAGACCAGCACGCTTCAACATATAGTACAAGTTTTCACTGAGACCTCGGGATCCTATCTTAGTGTCAACCGTTAGTACGACCAACCTGGCTACAACAGTAGCACCGCAAGTAATTTATAAGCTTGACGCGTGTTCCAAGGTTGGTATAGCTCGGGAATAGTAGCGCGACAGCAGCTTCCCTCTTAGCCCCGTTTGTTGTTTTTCCTCTAAGGGATACTGATTGAACCTCATGCCGTCTGCTGGTGGGCGTTTCTCATCGCCATCGCCCTCCCCCATCTCATGGTTATTTGTCCTCGCAAGTTGTGACTGGAAAAGTGGGTTCATCCTGCAGGCTTTGTGAGAAACAAGAGTCGAGCACGGGTGTCGACAGGCCCAGAGGATCCAGCCCAGGATCCCGGGACCGCCTGCAGTTGAGGTATGCAGGCACTTACCAAGTACAGACCAGCGACAAATGTATGAAGATCTACCTCCTACTGGCACCCTACGGCAGCAACAGCATTGTGTGATTGAGATTACACATGTGGCATGGGATTGGGTGGGAGGGGCGCAAGATGTGCCGAGCCAATGCAAGGTGCCTTGACCCCTGCAGTGACAGGCGTGTTCAGCAGCCATTCCTCAGAAGTACACTGCCAACGACCAACTCCTACAGGCCACTCACTCACTGCCAGCGAGCCAAGGCTGGGCTGGGAGCTGGATGAGCTCCATCGTCATATCATCATCCTCATGGTACGCGATTTTTTTTTTCCTTCTCTAATTCTTTGTACTGGCATCTCCCATCACCTGGTTTCCCCCTCCCCGTTCCATTCCTTCGCCCTGCCCTTCAGTCACGTCTCATCGATCTCGAATCCGATCCTATGGTCGCACGCCCACGATTTCTCCACCACAGGACCAGGCCACCGCTAGACTCCGCGCTGCAATCTCCCGTCTTCCACCAAGGTGGACTCGACATCGATTGTTGGACGTGTTTGGACCCTGAAGCTTGCCTCGACCCAGACTCGACGGACACACACACACAGAGAGAGAGAGAGACTCAAGCACGAGCCCTCCAAGCAAACAACCGAGGCGAGGCAACGCGTGCACGAACCAGGCGACCCGGCCTGATGGTAGTGAGGAGACGAGCTCGGTCCTCATACGGATTCTTCCCTCTCACCTCCCATGTCCACCTACATTTTGTCGTCTCTCTTTTCTTGACCCGACCAACAACATCTCATCGACAGTCTGCAGATGCTGCCACCGCCGCTCCCAGTGCTGTCTTCTTCTTGTTCTTCTTCTTTTCCCTCTTCCTGCCCTCCTCTTCGATGATTGTGCCTATTTATTTCATCTGATCCCCACTCTTCATTCTTCATTTCATTTCTTTAATTTTGGCACTGCCGGGAGGTACCTGTCAGGCTGTAGCCCGTACCTGTCCTGCCGTCAGCCCCAATAGCATACTGGCACCAGCACATCCTTGACCGACAGACGAGATCGTTCATAGTCCCAGCTTGGCCCTGGTCTCCCCCCCCCCTTCCCCCGGATCCTAATAACGCGACGCGATTATCCCGGCCTGCCAGCCCAATATTTCTCCACTCCCTCTCTTCTTTTTCTCTTTTCAAAAAAAAAAAAAAAGGGGGGGGACTCCCGACCTGCTGACTGCCAGAGAAGTTGGGTATTCGTCGACGACGCGATAGGATAGGTATTGAGAATCAGCTGCAGACGACCTGTCCATCGTCTGTGCTGACCTCAGAGTGGTAAGCCTCCCTCATCCCCCTCTCAACATTCCATCCCCTGCCAACAGGCGCATCCAATTTGGGCCCCCACTCTACCAGGTCCGCAGGCTGTCAGGCGTAAGAGGGAGAAAGAGACAGATGTGAGAGAAGAGAAGAAAGAGGAACAAGCTCATCTGACGCGCGAGTATCTTGCCATCTTGTCTAGGTTCCCGCAAAGACGTCTTCGCAAGAGTCGTCGTCACCACTTCCTCCTCGTGCTCCCGCACAGGACGGTCTGGCCAGTCAATCACCACCAAAGTCCCCAGCTCTCTCGACCGCGTCCACTGCCGACGGCGAGGCGTCCTCTCCTTACATTCCGCACCTCGCGGCCCCGCCGCTGCCCAAGCGCGCTTTGGAGCTGCTGCGGACGCCGCCTCCTCGCGACGACGACAAGGGCGACGATAGTCAGTACGTCACCGCAAGCTGGGGCAGCCCGTACCCCAGGTCAGAAGAGGCCGGTCTCCAAGCACAGAGCCCCGGCAGCGAGGCGTCCGACGACCCGCCAATCCACCGCCTGGCGCTCGACACTCCTTTCCTGCGCCCCGCTCCGCTTCTGGCTGCCACGTCCGCGGAGCAGCACCCGGCGTCTCTGGCCGCTATCCTCGTGAACCGCGCCAGGAGGCCTGATCTCGCGCGCGGGCTCACGGAAGACTGGATTCGCCAACATACGGCTGCTGACGAGCACGTCGAACCTCGCCATTGGCTGAGCGACGGCTCGGACAGTGAGCACTCTTCGCTGAGCGGCTCACCACCTCAAGAGGGGGCCGCGTGGCTCGAAGACAAGGACCTGATCACGCCCAAGGCCCATCCCGCCCGCGTTGCCTCGTCTCAGCCGCCGTCGGGTCAACAACATCCAAGAGCGCGATCGAGTACCGAGACTCTGAAGCAGAGCACCGTGGATCAGCTACGAGAACAACAACAGCCGCGTCGTGAAAATATGGCCGCCTCCAGCACGGACGGCCCTGAGCCCGACAACACGGGGGACCTGATCATGCTGTCAGGCACCCCTAACCTCCGACCGACAACACCAATCGGCACAATGGATAGCGGCAAGTCGCCGTTCGCTGACGCGCAGTCGAAAGAGATGAAAGCACCAGTGACACCGACAAGGGCCGAGACCAAGAAGGAGTCCGCGCCAACGCCTCGGATTAAGAAGCGAGTTCCATGGCGTGGTAAGAACATCATGGTCCTACTTCCCAGGGATGAGGGCCGGGGCAAACCTGGGAACCGACCCGTTCCCCTCAAGGAACACGAGGCGCGGAACATGTTTAGAGAATGGGAGCAGTTGGGGTATGACATTCGCGGGTTTGACCTGAATGAGCCTGAGGGAAATCCTGCGCTGCCTATCGAGCACTATTCCAGGAGTAGGGACGAATGGCCCGACGTTGAAGACACCAGGAGGGAGTGGGCAGAGCGTGTCTTCAAGGTCACGCTGCCTGACATTGGGGGTGAGTTTCTTAAGTGATATCCTCCTTTCCCGGGTAGCTTACTAACAGATAAACCTCACAGCGTGGAAGAGGTACGTCGATGAGCTGAACGAGGCTAAGCTTAGAGCTCTTGGTGTTTCGTTTGCCGACGAGGAACCGCCGCCGCCGCCACCGCCTGCGTCCATCTCGCCCGGGCCACATACGCTCAGCCGACGAGCCACCGTCACGCAGTATCCCCCGCTGCCTTTCTCGCCGCCGATCCCGCCGTCCTCGGCATCGAGTCAAGGGCTGCAGCAATTCCCTTTCCCTGGCCAGCCGCCGACCTCTGGAGGCGTGAATGCTGTTGGGTCTCAAGGCCAGTTTAGCGGAAATTTCACCTCGCCGCACGCAGCCGCGATGTCTCCGAACCAACCACCCTTCGGCTTCATGCCTCCTCAGCCGCAGCCATCACCAAGAGACATGTTGCTTTCGCAGCAAAGCATGCACCGTGCCTCCCCGTCTCTGTCAACTTCTCCTTTCGCACCGGGTGGCTTCCAACCCCCGATTCCTCATCAGCGCCACCAGTCACTCCAATTCCCTCAGCTGCCACATCAGCAGTTTATGCCTCCTAGATCGACTCCTCATCTGCAGGAGTTGCGTGAAGAAGATGAGGAGGAGCACGCTAAGAGCCCATCAAAGACACCCGAGCCAGGCCAATCCCTCGTCCGTCACAATGCAAGCGACAGCCTCCAGAGGGAAATTGACGAGGCCGAATATCACCTGGAAGAGCAGTTCCGATCACAGCTTGAGCATGATCAAGACTATAGCCCGCACAGAGAGGATGATAGGATGCAGGCCGCGCCCGTCCCATCAGTGCAGGAACCGGCTCTGCAATATGTGCCACAGGCGCCGCACTTCGAGAACTCCGTCAACGACAATCTTGTCCTGCATCATCCGCGTCCTCATAGCAGAGGCCACTCGCTGTCCCAGAAGTTTTTTGGCGAGGAGGATGTCAATACCAGCTCCGGTGCTGCGGCTCTAGGCCGCCTGAATACGATTCAGGATGATAAAGCCGGTGAAGAGCTCGAGACAAACCCAAGCAACCTCGGGACGCCGGTTCATGAGAAGTTCCCCAATCTGGCCCACGACAGGACGTTCAGCAATCCTTGGCAGGATGTTCAATCGATTTCTCGCCGGCCCAGTCTCGACAGCAAGCCTTCCCAGTCTTCTAAACTAAATGTTGCAGCGCCCGAGTTCAAGTTCAACCCAACGAGCTCGTTCCAGCCTGGACAGTTCAACTTCGGAAGTAACACTTTCCAGCCCGCTGTTTTCCAGAGCGGGTTCGTACCGAGGGCTCCAGAATCAGTCCAGTCGAGCCAGTTCAGCCCCCCAGCGGCGCCGTCAACCAAGATCAACGCCAGGGCTCCGGCCTTCTCTCCTGGGTCGAGTGACTTCAGCTTCTCCGCCGCTGGGGCGCCCACATTCAGGCCAGATGCCCCTTCTTTCACTCCGATGCAATCGTTCAATGGCTCTGTGACATC